TAAGCTGTTCCCGCCACAGGTGGCGCACAGCTTCGCATAACCTCTATTTGGCGCTCTTACGCCCAACACTAGAGTCGACTGTACACGTGTGAAATAAACCCGCCAACAGTGCCGCGTTCAATTAACGCACCACAGCAATCATAACCTCCAGTGATAATATTTAATAGATTATAACCTGCTTTATACATAGGTAATTTATTTCAACACTACAAGATTATTAAGAAAACCAAGTTCATTTGTAATTCACCTTTGTAAATCAATTTAAATAAATAGAAATAATAAAGACTTATGTTAATTATTAATCAGTGCATTCACCCTTTACTTGCCCGGCAACCCCACATAACATCTAGTGGGTTTTATTGTTCTAAGTTAATTATTACACGTTTGGCTGACGAGTTGAATTGTGGAATTAATTTCCGAACAGAGTAATCTTTAATTAACATCGATATTTTAATATCTCAGATATTTTTACATTTTTTTTAGTAAACATTACTTATATTTATAAAATATAATAGTCACACTTTTTTTGTTACTTTAATTTAGATTTCAAATTTAATACAATATATAAAAATGAAAAATTTTAATGTAAAAAATAAAGATGTTTTCATTTTCAATTATATTATATTGTTTAGTTAGGGAGCATAATTATTTTATAAGTCCGGAGCTTTTAGAACTTAAGTGTACGATTAACAATAAAACCAAATTTCATTTCATTTACATACAGTTTTAGTAACACATTAAAAATACGATGCACAGAGAATCATGACCAATTTTCATAAACATAATGTCAAGCTAAATAAAACAGTAAGTCATTGCTTAAAGACTTTCATTTGATTATTGAAATAAAGAATTTTTTAAATATATTGTACATAGTCTATATTTATATACTCTCAGAAATGAATATAAGTTTTAGTTTCATAAAATTTTAATATGTAACTTACATTTTTATTGTTGTTATAAACGAAACCTGAATGTATGAAAAATTCAGAATTACTTTGAGATCCATAATGTATAAAAATTTGATCACCCATTTTAAAATTTTTCATTGCATAGCATTCGCAACAATTAGTATTCATATTAAAATTTGTTGTAATCTGAAAACCAAAGTTATTTATTTTGATGAAATTAAATTTCGTATTATTTAAAGTGAAAAATATTTGTAAAATTTGAATATTGTAATAAGAAACACTATCTTTCTTATGAACAAGTTCTTAAGAAATTTTCATGAAATTAGTAATATTGCACTATTAATTTCAATTTCAGTTCTTTTGGAATCACATGTTGATACCCTAAAGAATTTACTTGATTAATGAAGGATGGGATTAGTTTTTCGAATGTACAGAATACAGATTACATTATAGAAAACTTACCTAGTTATCAAATTAAGAATGCATTGTATAAATTATTGTTTCAACACGTTTAGCGGATATGAAGGGAATGAAGTTGTTATAAATTTTTTTTTATATTTTATGTCATATAAACCTAATGATATTTACAGACATTATTTTTAGAAAATTAATATAGTACGTGAAATATTTTTAATTTCAGTTGATTATCTTATCAATTAATTAATATATATTCTTTCCTCGAACCCTATTATGTCTCATAATAACAATGCGATATAAAATAATAATAGATAATTCAAATTATTATAATTGTACTGTAATTAATTATGTTTATTTAAAAATCTAATACTCTCGTTATTCTCAAATAATATTATAAAGTAATTAAATTTTCATGGTTAAACTTACTGCCTTTTAATCGTAAATTGTTTTGTATAGTAAAATTCTGGAGTAAAGCTATTTTAACAACCTATTTTTAGTAAACTAATTTAGCTGTTTTTCTATCTATAAAGGACTATATTAAATGATTTGAACGGTAGTTCCGCATATTAAATACAATATTTTATTATGCTAATTTATATAAATAGATGGACATGGAAGACCCATCCTAACTAAAGATATCAAAATAATCGATGTTACTTTTCTTGTAACATTGATTATATTAAAATAAGAACCAAGATACAAAGGCAGAACATTATAGTAGATATTTGAATTGCATGTTCTGACATAGAGCCCGAGAGTTTTTATGTATAGTCATGATAATCTATATTGGGATTATTAGATATAATGGTTTAAACTTCGAGATATACAGAGTTTTTTGGAAGTAATTATATAACTAACAAATATTTATGTTTAAGGCAGTTTAATTTCTGCATTAAATATTACAGGATAAAACATAGCTTTTTCGTCTGGTCTTGTTATATATGTTATACATATGATAATTTACATAGGCCAAACTGATATTATATATTATATTTATAATTAGTAATACTTTAAGTAATGGAATACATACCGTCGATTAATATAAAGGGTAATAAGTAAACGGAAAGTTATCAGAAGAGAATTACACTTATTATAGAAAATCTAGGAGAAAACTTGAAATATTACCTAAATTTATAATTAATTGGCAGTAATTTATATAGTGATTATAGTTCAAAATAGTTACAAACATTACACAATTTATAAGCTAGTGGTTAGCGATATAACGCGTTTCTTATAATATATATAATTACTTTGTCTAAATACTTGCGTTATTTATATCGAGTAATTTACAAATGATAGTAACATATTAGTCATATATTTTTTGGTAAGAAAATTTGGGATTTTCTCAAATTATCTGCCGGTTAATCGCTAATAATGGAAATAAGATTTTTTAAAGTGATGTAAATAAACTTAATTAATTTTGTAGAATCTATCTTGGATGAAGTGAGAATGAATAAATTTTATTTATATCATGGGGAAGTGGATTTGATTCATAAATTTGAAAAAAATTAAATTACTTTAAAGAAAAGTGGAACTAATATTTGCAAATTGTTAGGAACATGTTCGTTAATTGCAAACAGTATTACCTACGACTGATTATTTCATAATATTGCTTGCGATAGTACAGTAGATACAGTAGAACTATTTAGTATAGCTGAAGTCGTATATCATACAATTCCAGAGTAAATTTTTTTTTGATAGAATAATATAATAGAAAATGGCTGCTGATTTTGATAATTTCTAAAATAAAAATATTAATGTGTTCTTGAATTCTGAATTTTGTGTTTTAACATTGGTATTAGTAATCATGTTTATAAAATAAAAAATGGAGTTGATTTCATGAAAGAAAAAAATGTATTTAAATAAAGCAATCTTTATTAAATCTGATTCCATGAAAATACTTTATATTCATTGTTGACTAGTTTTTCAGGGTAGAAAAATTTACATTTTACCAAAATCCTTCTATGATTTTCGGACTTGATAAAACTATTATTAACGCTCTAAAAAGGACTTGAATAATCTATAGATAATGTGATATTAAAATCAAAAAGGAAATGCGAAAACCATATGTAACGAGTGTTATTTTATTATCCCCGGGAATATAATTTATATAAAATAAGCACACTAATTGAGAGAGAGAGAGAGAGAGAGAGAGAGAGACTTGATATGCAACTAAAATATAAAGAACCTGCAAAAAATTCTGATATTCAACTATTTCTTGAAATTATAACTATAAGTCATAAGGTTGTAGGTATTTTAAGAACAAATGGTAATGCGACAGTGACATGACTAATAGGGCACATAATAACATCCACAGGGAATAGGTAGCTACAGCTGGAAATTTGAGTGGGTCTATTATAGATTTAGAAATAAATACAGAAATTTATGTAATTGAATTCTCCTTTTTTCATTAAAATTTAATGAATAAAATTAATAAAAATATTTTCGTATTACTTGATAGCACAACAAACCACATAGATGGACAGAAAGACATATAGGGTATATGAATTATATATATATATAAATTTATTTTTATTATCAACTCAATTTAAAATTATACTTAAAAAATAGATATTTTATATTTTGAATTGCATTATAAAGATTAAACTCTTAAAATTTTAATTGAAATAAAATAGAATAATACCTACTTTTCCATGTTCATGATTACACAAATCCCACATTGGTATTAAGCTATGAATCATTTGTAAATTGTCTTCGCTTGGAATTATATTTTGTCTAGTCATAACGGTTGATACTGCCCATCTATAATATTTTCAAATATTTAATTAATTGTGATACTCTCCTGCATTATTTAAAATCTTACATTGATCTTTGATTAATTTATTTTAAAGTATTTTGTCAAAATTAAGCTCTTCGTAATGCATTTACTTGATTTAAACTATTTCAAATTCTTTTAGATTCATACAATATATATTTAATGAAAAATTGCTTTTATATTATTTTATTTATTTGATATAAGATTAAATTATTAAAATATAGAAATAACATAAATTATTTATAATTATAAAAAACGAAATGTTTGTAATTTATTATGTATATAAATTGTAAAATAGATGCAGCTTGTTTGTATTAACATTGTAGGTAACCAAGTAGGTAGTAAAGTAATTTTAAGATATAATAGAACAATGATTTAAATGCAAGATTTTTTATAAACTCTCATGCGATTACTTAAAACTAAATATCAACTTTTTGCATAAAATTTAATTTATAGTATAAAAATATAAAATATAACATTTTTTAAAAATAAAACATGTTTTAAATTTTTTAAAATTAGTATTTATCATTATATCTTTTAACCTTGTATTGAATTACTATTAACATCTTAATATAATTTTTCATATGACATTATATGTTGATATAAGATGCATGATTTTACTATACTGATTTCTCCATATATTAGTCTCATTCCTTCCTTTATTTTCTGTTTTATTAGTTTCTATTTTTAGAACAAGTATTTTAAGAATATTAACTTACCGGTACTCTTCATAACTAAATGTATCTCTCAATAATTCAGACACTGAATTCTTAGAATTTTGAAAAATTTTATTAAAATAGGAATATTGTCTTGCTATATTTCTGCATTGCTTTAATGCTGCATCTAAAACAATAGTTTTATTTAATGAAATAATGTTTTATTATATTTTTTAATACAGTTATTATTAAATATTATGTGAATCAGAATAAATTAGTAAACATCAATTTTATTCTAATAATGTTTTAAGATCTTTAAAAAATTAAAAATAATATTTATATAAAGATTTTTTCATATTTTATAAGTTATACTTCGTATTATATTAATAGTAATATATCTGTCTGGAAACAGACTAAAAAACCTTCCTGTGATGTTTGGTGGGAGGATTGCTGGCAAGTGGAAGAGGAAGGCGCATTTATTTAATATTAACACACAGCATATCTGGGTTTTTCTCTTTATTTACAGACTACACAATGAATAAGATTCTAAGATGGTGCTGGGAATCTGAGACCTTTTTCGCTTTTTTTTACGTGGCGATGGTATTCACTACCTACAGCAGTTGGAGATGTAAATCTCTGGTACTTCTTTGAGTAGTGCCACGTGTTCGTAACGTTTCAATATCTGCCCTTATAGCAGTAACGTATAATACACTTATGGCCGTTCGCGGGACCTCCTTGCTATAATAGCTGCCCTTATAGCTGTAACGTATATTACACTTCTGGCCGTTCGCGGGACTCGTCTTTGTTCTAATATCTACCCTTATAGCCGTGACGTATACTTCACGTGTCGCCGTTCGTGGGACCTTGGGATTTTATCTCTGTCTCTTATAGCCGTGACGTATATTTCACATGTGGCCGTTCGCGGGACCTCCTCGTTTTTTATACCTGCCCTTAGAGCCGTGATCTATATTTCACCTGTTGCCGTTCGCAGGACCTCCTTGTTCTAATATCTGCCGTTATAGCCGTGAAGTATATTTCACCTGTGGCCGTTCTTAACAGAGCAGTGCGAGACTGGCGTTCTTGCACTTTTAATATATGGTTTTCCTTTCAATTGACTTCACGGTAATTTTATTTGTCTCACCTAATTCTGTGATGAGTGTGTTGGTGGTGTGCCTCTAGTTTAATATTCACCTTTGAATTACACTTAGCACTCGCGTCTGCTTAGATATAGCGCACTTAAATGGTTATAAATCCTTATGGCTTCACTGTTGGCTTATTAGATTATTATATAGAATATTATAATAGATGCAGAGTTTGGCGGAATCACGTGCGTATATTATAATTAATTTACTGGTATGTGGAGGAGTTTAGTAGTTGTGTGGTTAATAACTGATAACTGATTGATTGAGAAATACTGATGACCGATAACAGATATGAACAATTGGTAAAGGTACAGTGGGCACCGGTGAACGGCGAGCTCCTCTTAAATATTAGCGTGGCAGCTTGCAATGCTGTTAGCAGTGCTTGGGCTTGTTGATAGGCCGAATGTCTTGATGACATCAGAACGAGGTTATAGAAAATTCGAGAAGTCGAGAATGACACAGCCTTGGAAGGTTCGAGAATTTTCAATTGTTGTTATGCCGAAATATTGTAGAACGATAAACAATAAGGCGTAGACTAATAGAGAATTCGTGGAAGCAATGTTTACAAATATAAGCATTCACAAGGATATACTTTCCCCTTTATACGATTTCTTCCAAATTGCTTTAATCCCAAACAATATCTATTATTTCCTTTTAATATTTTAGATTGAAAAATATTATGTCATATTTTTACAAAATATTATTTATATTTGCAGATTCGTACTTGTTCAGTACCTTATAACTAATAATTCTTGTATCAAAATATTGCAATATTATTGAATTATCAATATATTTAACAAACTGGAAATTTATCAACTTATAATGCCTGTTATCAATGCCTCCAATGATAATATCTATTCGCTATCCTTTTTATAGTTATGAATAAAACATTATTTATGTTAAAAGTAGCAATAATATATATATATATATATATATATATATAGAGAGAGAGAGAGAGAGAGAGAGAATATGGCTTATCTGATTAAATATATTTAAATGTATTTTTAATTTAAATATTTAAATATTAATTGTTTCCAAAAAATATCATATTATTTGTTTAAATCACTTCTTTTTTACACTAAACTACCATAATTATCTCTATTGAATAGCCTAATATATACAAAATAAACTACAATAAAAGTGAATAAAATAACTTCTAAATATAAAAACACACGATGCAATATTTGACAATGTCACAAGTATTTCAAATATAATTAGTAAAAGCCATAAATAAAATATTAAAACTCAGTAATTAAGCTACAAATATAATTATACAATCGCGCTTTAGTCTGTGCATCAAAATCTTTTATGATACTTTGATATTTTAGTTCAGTGTATTTACCATTCAAAGTCACCTAACCCATCTAACCTAAAGTGAACGATGAAATTTTATTATTCAATGACTATAAATATATTAAATCGTTTAAATCAGTTACCCAAAATATCACATACTACAATTAGTAAAAAAACTTATAACAGTCATTTCTAATAAATATAAACCAATGTTAATATAATCAAAATTTAAATTAAAATTTTTAATTTCTCTATATCAATCAATATATTACAATAATACTATCAAAACGCTCTAATATTATTGCTTAGTTTATATATTTTTATGAAAATGAAATTGTATACAATATATAATTGGTATTTTTAAGATACACAATTTTGTAATAACATTAGTACTGTTCGGGATCGATGCAGTTTCCACGAATTTTAGAAAAAGAGGTCACACGCCCGTTCGGATCAGGACGCGGACTCGGGCGAATGTTTATAAACGCAACACGACAAACCCGAGCAAGTTTTACGACATGAAATCTAATATACTAAAAGATCACGCGAAGGAAGAACGCCTACGAAACCTCTAGAAGCATCGTTTTCTAACGCCACAAAGAAGTTTTCGGTATAGCGATAAGCGGCGGCACTGTTACCGGCGTTGCATCCTGCTGCATGTATATTTAAGGGCAGCTCGCCATGTGGCGATGCTCATTGTAATCCTTTTTCGCGCTCACTAAATTGTAATTGCCGCTCAGTGGTTTAGTATATACTATGACGACGACATGTGGCCATAAATTCGGCAGCTTAGTAAATAATATACGTGTTCATTATTAAAAGGAAATCGGCAGATTTAGTAATGTTTTAAGTGAAGCCAGTTGGAATAGTAATCAAAGGGGACATCAATTACGCAGCAACTAACACACCTTGTCTGCAGGTGCAAGGTACATTTTTTATATTAATAAATAAGCTAGTCACACCTCGCACACGAATAAATTCTGGTTCTCTCGGTCGAACTAACGCTTCGACCCTGTACAGGCCCACTAGGAACTGACACAATCGACGGACAACAATATAATGAATAATCGACTACAAATACATTTCATTAAGTCCTTCAAGAGCACGAAGGCTTATCATTAATTACTCTTGTACGTGACTAGTCTTTCTACTGCTCCCATAAATAATTTAAGACATAATTGATTACTCAACAAGTTCCATTAAACATCTTACACCATATCAAGTATAGTTATTCCAAATATCAAACATACTTGATTCAAACACCTCATGAGCATGATTGACTACACCTGCTGATATTTACAACATCAGCCTAACTTCAACTTCGAGATACAGTCATATCCATAGAATCTACGATAATCAAGACTACAAGAACACACCCTCATTACTACAATAGAATAATCTTTTCTCAACAACATTGCAATATAATTATTATAATTATTAACAAATAATAAACATTGTTTTACTAAAATACATAATATTTTTCAGCCTTTTCACTCATTATTTCCTTTAAAGTTATCCTGACGAGAAACTAATCCACTGAACTATTGAATTGACAGTTCGAGCCATAAACTAAACCCTTAAAATCGAATGAGTACAAAATTAAAATTGACCTTTCTATTATAGTTAAATAAAATAATTCAATTTGTAAAAAGAAAAATGTTTATCTTTAATTTTTATAATACTTTTGAATATACTTAAAACTAAACATTATCTAATAATTTGTTACCAAAATTCGGACTGTCTTTTAACTCCATCATATCATTAATATTCATGTACAATACTGTATTGTAATTCTTAGGGAGAATATTTAAATAAGGTTTCCACTTCGATTGTTCTTTATTTTTTTCTATTAAAAGAGCGATTGCTAAGCCTATATACGGCATATTTTTAATTAATATATCATTTTGAATATCTTTTATTTCAAACGCCGCAGTGTGAACATTAAAAATTAACTTTCTTGGGATTTCAAGGATGATGTCGTTCTCTTTAAACTCAATTTCAGCTTTTAATCCTAAATCATAATTAGGAAATTCACAAATGCTTATACCATACATTTTAGCATCATGTTGTTTTAACCAGCTGATAAATTCTTCAATTACATCGATTCTTTCTAAAGATTTCACTTCTGTTTCTTCTAATTTTTTAATTTTTTCTAAAATACTAGATATTTCTAAATAGTTATCCCATATTCGATTTAAATACGATGGATCACTGCAAACTAAAACATAAATTATTTTAAATTATCAATGATGAAATTTTCTAAACATTACAATAACAATATAAATAGTAAATATAAAAAATATAATTTTTTCATAGTAATTTTTAAATACATTCATAAATAATGAGTATTTAAAAAATAATTATAACTAACACACTTATTTTTCTTTTTGCAAATCTAAAATTATGGAATATAACATTGAACTAGTCTTTTGCTAAAATATAATGTATATATAAGCCTATAAAATTATCATTATTATTAAATAAAAATATCATATAAAATAAAAATATCATTATTAAATAAAAATTGTATTAATAATTTCTTTTTCAGAATATTCAATTCTATTTCATTTTGTTCTGTTTTTATTAATTAAAACCTGTATAAAATTATAAACGCACATTAAAAAAAAATCTAATAATTAAATTATATTTTTCAAAAAAAAACGATCACATTAAAGATGATGAGAATATAACTAATTTCATACGAATTATTAATTTTTTAAAGAATGATAATTTAGGCTATAAATTTAGGGTCTATCTGAATTTATGCAATTTCTGAATCAAATTAATTTTTGATTTAATATAAAATCTTATGATATATTTATATTACTATTTCAGAAGTTACTATGAATTTGATATTCAATGGCAAAAAATTACTAAATTAGCTAAGTAGATTCAATTTCAATTTTTATTCATTGTTTTATAAATAAAAACTAATAAAAAATAAAAAATAACTACTGAAATCACAATATATTAGTATTGAACATATATTATAACACATTTATTGATAAATATATCCCGGCAAATATAGGTTTTGCAATATTTATAACTATATATACTGAGGTGTTATTTTTAAGTGTTAATTCTATTTGATATAACTTATAAATTCTCTAAAAATTCAGTGGAAATTCTGATCTGATATTAATAATTTTATATATATTATAACCTAATTTTTTTCACTTCAAGAATATATTATAAAAGTTCTGCGTTAACGCTATGCTGTTGTTGCCGTAATTCACATTGTAAGAGAAAAGCCTAATTGTGATAACAGATAAATGAAGTATTGGTAACTTATTATAATTAGTAAATATTTTATTTAATTATTTATATTTTACATATCTATTACATATTTTTAAAAATGAATAGAATTTCTTTGATAATCATATTGCAAATATGATTGTCATCAGTAAAAGAATAATAAAATACGTTTACGTATTGTTAACGTTTTTCTTTTCGCTAGTCGTTTTTTCAGTGTCCTAATTTCATAAATTGTATATTTTATTATCTGAAATATCAGTGCTAAAACTATTTTATATGAGATACCAACGAAAATGATTTCATATAAACAATATCAGATAATATCAGATAATATACGTCTTCTGTAATGTAACTGACGCTTCGATAATTCAAATAAATGATTTTATTTTACTAAAATATTGATAAAAAAGTTATTAAATTTTTTACAAATTCAATTTAAAGTAATTTAATAAAAAGCGGTCTGTTTAGAAATTTTGTTTTGACATATTAATAAAAATCTATTTTGAAGCAAAAGTTTTGTTACAAATAAATTACTTGTTACTTGTATTTTATTGGCCTTAATCTTCATTAATATTTATAAAAAAAAAAAATGTAAAAAAATTGCAATAACATAAAAATGGTGTTTAATACATATGAAACATGTAAGGCAAGTTTTATATTTGTTGAACAATTGAATGTCTAATTGATTTCTATAAGTCATATAACCGGTTAACAAATAACAATTAGGTATGAAAAATTTATTAAACCATTTTTTAGAAACAAATATCTATTAATACTGCTACATTAATATAATTATTAAAAAAAATTGAATATTCATTACTATAAGTTAGAAAAATAGATTAACTGCAAGAAATATATTTTATTATTATGTTAAAAAAATGGTTGAGGCAATCATTATAGGTGGTAATATCTGAAAGAAGTATAAATGATAAAGTAATTTTTGTTACTAGATAATATTTTTTTACAGAAGAAAATCGGAATGTCTCAATGTACACAGGATACTATTAAATTCTATATATTATATATTTATATATAATATATAATATAAGCTCTATATATTAAGAATGATGAGCGATATAAACTATTTTATATTAAATTATTTTAAAGTTATGCTAAATATAATGATAGTATTATAAATGTAAGACAGTCATTACTATTGCAAATACAGGATATTTTTGCTGTATGAAAATCAGGGTGTAATAAAAAACAAATTAATTACAATTAACAGTTTTGAATGTTAAAATATATTGTAATGCATTATCAACTCGATTACTTATATAATTATAATGAATTTATAAAATAAAATATTAGTAAATTGTTGCTATTATTTATTATTATAATAATTCTATGAATTAAAAATCAATAAAATCATGATTTTACTTGTTATTAACAAATTATTGAGTTGTATTAAATTATGTAGAATCCATAGAGCCATGAATGTGTTTAATTCTATACTATTTATAATAGTTTCTCACATCTCTTATAGCATTTGTTTAACTGAAAGTTAAAAATTGTACAATAGAAAGCTATGTTTTGCATGGATTCCATAACACAACTATTGTCGAGTCATATTAATAAGTAAATAATATTTACTTAAGGTTTACAGATTAAAAAACAGATTCTTATCTGGTTACAGACAAGATGGATGTTGAAAAAATCTTCTCTACACCTAATGAAGTTAGGAAATTGTTTATAGATATTTAAAAACGGAATACGAAATTTCATGGATTATTGTTTTTATTAAGAAATAGTTTAATCAAAATTATATAATATATTTATTACTCTTTTATGTTAATGTATTCTAAAAAAATATATAAAAAAGAGAAATGTTGTAAGTAACTCATTTAAATTTCTTCTTATAATAACATACTTCGGTTTACTATTGAATAACAATTTGAAATTATTCTTATTTAAATACCATAGAATATTTGTTTTTTATTTCCTTTATCTTTCTGCTGACATTTGGACATAATGTCAATGATTAATATAACGTAACTAGAATTGTCTATAGACAATAATAAATTTATAATTATTAATAAATTAATATTTCAAAAAATTCGATTGCGGAGTTGTAAATTATAACAATGACTAGAAAATAAACCAGTAAACACTTTCATAGATACAAAAATAAAATAATTCAAATATTAATTATATTCTTTACTAATGAATAATTCCGAAATTATAAACGAGAGTGAATTTCTTTTATAAATTATTCATATTTTTTATATTCCAATATATTTGCAGTAAAATATTTAAATATTTTCCACAATAAAAGGAATAGAAGCCAAAATATGATTTTTAAAAATTTAAAATTATTTCCTAAACATTTGGGAATAGCATATTTTATTAAGATATGAAAGATGACAAATAATCATTGTTCGAAAGTGATGTTATTTTCTGGCTCGAACTGCCAGTGTTTCTATAGCTTTAACAATTTGCCCCCCGTTCTAGCAGATCCTTGAGTGGAAGTCAAGTGAAAGGGTTATATGAAGGTGTATTAGGTGCAAACTTCTGTAACATATAATTTATTAACCATTACATTTATAACATGCATGGTTCACTTTGTTGTAGTCGTGAAGATGTCGTTGCTGTTATTGATGTCAGCAAAAGATGTTGAATGTTGGGTGTGTGCTGATGTTGTAAGGATCAGCATAACTAGTCGACCATGCTCATGAGATAAGCATGGGAAGATGGTAACGGTAATCAGTAGTGCTTAGCAGGAAGAGTAAATTATACTTAAATGGAAGAGAATACCAAAGTCTCTGTGGTAGTTGTCACGCAAATCGACCATACTTCAAGGGGAGTATGGAATTATTAGAAAGCTAGTCACACGCAAGAACGATAGATGATAAGCCTTCAAGTACGGAAGGACTTGATACAACGTATTTATAGTAGACTATTTGATAAACTGTAGTCTGGCCTTGAGAATACAATTAAATTGTATTGGGTGAACGTACGTTCTCTAGCTTGATCAGCCTGAGAGAGCGTAATGCGCCACCTGTATCGACTGTAGTGGGGTGAACGTACGTTCTCTGGCTTGGTCAGCTTGGTAGAGCGTATTGCGTTACCTGTGTCGACTGTTGGAGTGAACGTACGTTCTCAAGCTTGGTCAGCCTGAGAGAGCGTATTGCGTCACCTTTTTTGGCAGACTTTATATGAAACGTATTCGCACGTGGGTGACTAGCTTGTACAAATAATAAAATGAATGTACCTTATGAACTACTGACAGGGTGTGCTGAATGACTGATAGGCTGACGCACTTTATTGATTACAATTTTGATGGCTTCACTGTTTTCTTGTTGTTTTCTTGTTAGTGTATGTTTTATTTGCACTTCTAGTGGGATAATTCACGTATTAGGCTGATTGCCAAGCATGTGGCTAAAATTTGTAGTTACAAATTAAACTGATACTAGATGGATTTGAAAATACACTGGTGGTAATAACAGATGACCGATTGATACAGAATGAAACTATAAGCCTGTTGAATACGCGCACGGAAACCGAAGGCTTGATCGTTCCGTAGCGGCTCTGCTGACACTTACGGACTGTTCCATGGCGGTCCTGCTGAGGGCAGGCGAAGTCCAATGCCATGGCCTCTTCTGGTAGAGGGTTCACTGTTAGATCGGTTCACTGCGGTCGGGTCACGGCAAGAGGTTCGCAGCAAGAGAAGTTCAGGAAGAGAGCGAGGTACGCCGCGTGCTTGCCATATATATCCACGTGACGGCTTACTTAGCTGGCAAGAAGGCATCACTGTTGCTGTACTGGAATCTTACATGAGGCGTAGAAAGAAAAATCCAAGAGTTCCGAGAATTCGACGAAAAAAGACAAGATGAAATAACTTCAGAGAATTCCGGGCGATGTTATAAGTCGAAGACCATATAAACATCGTGGGCCATTTGAAACCAAAACATAACACAAGTATACGAAAATTCTTGTCCAAAGTATTTACAGAAATCTGAGGTCTAAAAAGCCGGCGATGCCGACAATCGGCGGTCATAGAAATTGCTTCAATCCTGAACAATCATCAAGGTGGTATTTTAACTTTAAAAAGCAAAATAGGGTTATACTTGAAGAATAATAGATTTTATGCAAATGATTTTTAGAAACAATTACATTTTATATTCGTTTATTAGGATACAATATAATTAATTACATACAACAAAATTAAAACTCTTGTTTCTGAATTACAGTATGATGAAAAATCGTGAAATTTCAATTTTATTCATTCTAAAAATATGTTGCAATTTGTCTTTCATTTATTAAATTTCGTATATTTTAATAATTTCAAAAATGTTCAATATTTATGACAAGATTTAGAAATTTTGATAAACATGTTCGGGATTGATGCAGTTTCCACGAATTTTAGACAAAGTAGGTCACCTGCGCTGTACGGCACACGGCACGCGCGCTCGGGGAGTTAAGAAGTTTTCGGTATAGCGATAAGCGGCGGCACTGTTGCTGGCGTTGCATCCTGCTGCATGTATATTTAAGGGCAGCTCGCCATGTGGCGATGCTCATTGTAATCCTTTTTCGCGCTCACTAAATTGTAATTGCCGCTCAGTGGTTTAGTATATACTATGACGACGACATGTGGCCATAAATTCGGCAGCTTAGTAAATAATATACGTGTGCATTATTAAAAGGAAATCGGCAGATTTAGTAATGTTTTAAGTGAAGCCAGTTGGAATAGTAATCAAAGGGGACATCAATTACGCAGCAACTAACACACCTTGTCTGCAGGTGCAAGGTACATTTTTTATATTAATAAATAAGCTAGTCACACCTCGCACAATAATAAATTCTGGAAATTTATATTCTCTCGGTCGAACCAACGCTTCGACCCCGTACAGGCCCACAAGAATAGGTGGGGCAAACTTACGTTCTTTCTCAGCTGAACCAACGCTTCGTCTCTGTACGGTCTCTCTCTCGGTCGAACCAACGCTTCGACCCCGTACAGCCCCGCAAGAATAGATCGGGCAAACTTACGCTTTCTCGAACTAACACTTCGAAATTGTACAGGCTCGCAAGAATAGATCGGGCAAACTTACGCTCTCTCGAACTAACACTTCGAAACCGTACAGGCCCTTAAACAGTCGACAGATGATAGAGCACGCTCTCTCGAATTAATACTTCGTCATCGTGCATTCCCTTAAATAGTCGACACAAGTGACGCAATACGTCAAGTACATTGTCAAGGCCAGACAACAATAGATCGACTACAAATACATTTCATTAAGTCCTTCACGAGCTCGAAGGTTTATCATTTATGACTCTTACCTGTGACTAGCCCTTTCTACTGCCCCCATAAATAATTAAAGACACAATTGATTACTCAATAAATTTCATTAAACAGCTTACACCATATCAAGTATAGTTATTCATACATCAAGCATACTTAATTCAAACATCATCTTCTTATGCTACCTCTTGAGCATGATTGAGTACACCGGCTGAGATTTATAACATCAACACTACCTCAACTTCAAGATACTCAGTCATATCCATAGAATCTACGATAATCAAGAAAGCAAGAAAACACTGTCATTACTACAATAGAATAATCTTCTCTCTCCACAAAAGTGCAATATCATTATAATAATTTACTAAATAATAAACATTGATTTTACTAAAATTACATTATATATAATATGTTTTAGCCCTTCCACTTATTATTTCCTTTAAAGTTATCCTGTCGAGAGACTAATTCAATGAACTATTGTATTAGTAGTTCTAGCCATAAACTAAACCTTTAAAATCAAAGAACTTATTATATATATTATGAATATGAAAATAAATGATAAGAAATTTATATATTATATGATTTTTGCAGAAGTTAATTACTATTATTAAAAAATATCAAATTATTTTTTATTAATGAAAATAGAATTGAAAATTAATAAAGTTGTTAACATATTTATGCTAATGCAAAACATGAGTTTATTACAAAAAAAGAAATGATATTGATGTTATTTTATAAATAGAAAAATATGCAATTTTGTTTGAATATAGAAAATTTATAATTTTTAATTTTTATTTAATTTTATTATCTGAGAAATAAAAGATCCATCCGATGTCATACATTCTTCTGGAGTTATGAGTTATGAATACTATTGCAAATATGAAATGACATATTTAATTGCATAACATATGTATAATTGTGACAACTGACAGTCTTGATATTTAGATTTAATGGAAAATTACTATATTTAAAAAACAATCTAATATTACACCATTGAACTATATATTCATTTTTCACTTGTAGGCTTTATAAACAATTATATTATTTGTAAAAGACATATAATCTAAATATATATATAAATTAATATCACTATGTATTGAAATAAGTGTGTATATGATAACTATAAAATGATTACTCAACAAATATAATTTCATAAATATAGTTTTTGTAAAAAGTATGTTAAACAAGATTGTAGAAGCAAAATATCATCAAAGATATCATCAAAGTATTAAGAACAGCAATTTAAAGTAAAGATAGATTAAGAACAACAATTTATAGTAATAAGGTACTAGATGCTAAATAAGATGAGCAAATTTTGTGCAAATCTTTATTTGTTTGATTATTTATTGGAATCATCTACAAGACTACATAAATATGCAAAATTAAAAATAATTTCATATAAAACTATCCGTGATTTAAAAAACATGTAAAATTATATAAGAAAATAATTTACCAATTACAAGATTTAAAAGAAATTTTGTTTATAGTCTCGTCAGAATTTATTTAAACAATAATGTTTTGAATGATATTATTGATTTCATGTATATAAAAAATGTATATAATTAAACACAGTTTAACAATAAGTAGAAAAACAAAAATGTAATGACTGGTATAACAGTTGTTAATTAAGTTTGATATTTATTATAAATAAGAAAGAAGTATTTTAAATATACAGTTATTATTGAACTTATTGATTAAATAAAAATTGATCTGTAATTTTCTTAATAATGTGTATTTATTTATATTTAAATGAAATTTATAAAACTACTTAAAATTAAGAATTATGAATTGTATGTTTGAAATATATTTATAAAATAAAATTAAAGAATAATTTTATAAATATCTCTCTCAAATATATTAAATTTCTATAATTTCTTTCTACTAGAATTTCATTAACTATAAATTTGAAAAGAACTTTTATGTCTCAATAAAAAAGACGTTAATTTATAATTTATAATATCTATAAGAATTTGATCGTTTCTATACTTCTGAAATAAGTAACACAACAAATTCTATACACAGCAATATTAATTTTTAATTTATCAATTTTTGTTTGAAATTCTTTAACATTGAATAACTGTTGTGTAATTTTAAATTCATATATATATGAATATATATAATACATAGTAAATTTTTTATACATTATTTTTTATATGTTATGCAATTTTCACTCAATATTTATATTGAAGTTGAATTATTAATTGAAAATAAACTATATTTAATTTTAATAAATACTTTAGTAAATGAATGATAATATTTATAAGTAATTATGATTAATATTTTGTTATTGTTATAATATCTTTTATAAATGTTCAGAGATATAATTTTTATTAGATACAAATTTAAACATTTACATACTATGAAACAGCTTTTCACATTCTAGATTAATTTGATTTGAAAAATCACGTTTTTTATTACAATTTTTTTCCCCCATTTTAATTACAATATATCCTTATTTCATGAACAAATATATATTTTGAAATTTAAATTAGACATAAAATTATATAAATACTATAAAATAATTAATTCACTGGTGCCACAAAGAATTTTTCAATATTAATTTATCTAGAATAATTTTAAATCTAAATTCACATGGTAATTCTAAAAATAAAAATCCAAACACACGAACTCGAATATACAATTTACATTAAAAATATTACTTCACATATTTGAATTTTTTTCTTATATATTTAATTAAATTTATTTTAATTTGAAAAATAAAGATCGTCTATTTTTAAATACTAGAAAATAAAGAAAAAAAATTACAGAATAAATGTGTGTTATTAAACATTGGAAATTATATTAAATCAAATATTAAAATAAATATATGAACAATTAATTTGCAAAATGATAGAATATATTAATCTCATTTTTAAAAGACGATTAAGTACAATGATTTAAATAATTTAGTTCTAGTATTCTGTATGGTCTAAAATTATTAAATTATTAATATTATATTTTTCATTCAATATTTTCATCTAAATGTTCAATTTTGTATTGACTTCTAAAAATCTTATAAAAAACTAATTAAAGGTAATCAGAATAAAGTTTTAATTTTTATATATTTCAATTTCTTAAATTCATACGATTTTAATGAATTAGAAATTCCAAAACAACGAAAGTAGTTTGAATAGGGTATATAGGTGAGGCATGCGCTATTCAATTTAAGTTTATTGGCTTTAAATAGTGTGCTCTAATTTGAAAGTATATACAAATATAGCAATAATGTTCGTGATTCTATAATTTATTGTAAAAAATCGTAATAGAACAGTTTAAAATTATTTCTCTAAAATAATTTTTTATTTGTATTGAATATAAATATACATATATATAAATAAATATAAATAGCAAATGGTGAATAAAATATGAAAAGTTGAATATAACGTACATAAATAAAATAATAAAATAAGTAGCTATGTTCAACCAATAGTATTTTAATCAATAATTAATACAAATATTTAGTTTTAAAATATATTTTATGTTTTACTTTGTTTAATTTTTTAATTTATTTTATTTTCAATAAATGAATGTCTTTTATAATTTTTTCTTCTAATATGGTACCGTTATTATTGATTTTTAATTGTCCTATTTGAATTTTATATCTTAATTCTATATATTGAAATTCTAGATTACTTTAACATTTATTAAACTAGTTACATATCAGTAATCTATTTTCTTTCAATGATCGAAATTTTACTTAATTTATATTATTAGCCATTAATTTGAAGATTTGTAATGTTAAGTTATACGTAATTTAAAAATTAAATTTTTTATTGAATTAAATTTTGATTAAGAAACGTGATAAACTTAAGCGTCCAATTTAATTTTAATTTTTCTAAAGCGATGTACATATTTTCTATTTAATGATCAATATAATTTCTGAGTTGTAGCTTAAAAATACTATAGTGATTTACTATATCAATTACTATATAACTCACATAATTAACATTATATTACGAATGTGAACTTCTAAACATCCATATATTAATTTTTAAAGTAATAATAAAACATAAATAGCTAAGTAAATTAAGTAAGATAGCTTTAAAATAATAAAAATTTAGGTATAAATAATAATTTTCATATCTTTATAATTAAATAAAATAGTCACTCTATACAGTAAACTCATATAGAAATAAACATAGACTGAATATGTAATAAGATAATAAACTAAAAAGAAAGAAATACGAAAGTATTTGCAACTAAATAATTAGTTAAAAGTTGCCCTTGCTACAATTTGTTGATACGTAGTTTAATATTCAACATAATTCTTGAAACTATTTTAAAAACAATTTTGAGAGAAAAATTATGATCTTTCAATTTTAAGAGTATTTATCAGTGTTGTGATTCTTAAATAATTATTACGAAATTTTTCAAATGACATTTTTTTTATTGTTTGTTTAGAAATACCATTGTTATTCATATAGTCATATAATTTATAGTATTTCAAGATAAATTTTACTATTATTTTTTCTGCATTATTATACATGTTGGAGAATAAATATAATCAAACAAACTCTTTTGTTTTTGATTCCATATTTATTATTTCTAATTATTTATTTAAGAAATAATATGAAATTTGTACTCTTACAAATTTAACTTTATAATTAAATAAGATGAAGTTTATTTATGTAGATGTTAATAAATTTCAATATAAAATGCTCTTATAAAAATAATATAAGAAAAATTTAAATACAATAAAAAAATCAGTATCGCATTAACATTTGAATTGTTTTATTAAAAGTATTTTTATTAACTGGGTAATACGTTTGTATTTATAGTGGTAGATAGAACATTACTTTCTTAATGGATAAATTTTAGCTCTACACCGTATTTGGTTCTCAAGTCTTTTGATTTTAATATCTTGTCTGAAATTCGCGGTATAAATATAAGAGTGCGATTTAATATATAATATTAATATTTTCAGATTATATTATAATATTTATATCTTATAAAATTTATAGTCTTTAGTTTTAATAAATCAGTTTTTATGCATAATTTTAGATCACTTTGTATCTTCTATTTTATTTTAATGTGGCGTATATAATAGAATAGTTTTTTATTTAATTTTTGTACTTTTATAAAAATTTGACTGTTACGTATGTGTGAATATATATATTAATTTTCTTTCAATAATCGATTTGCATAATTTTAATATTTATTTAATTTAAGTGCATGCTTATTAAATGTTTCAAGCAATTAATATTTGATATGTAAAAAATAATATTTCTTCATTGTAATGAAAAATATTTTATTATAGGCCTATGAGTATATACAAAGTAAAAATGGCAGCCGAAGTGAGGTGGATAGTATATTTATTCTTATTCTTATATTACATTTACACTAGTTATGCTGAACTGCCTCATCGAAAATTTGAGTATAAATATTCTTTTAAACCTCCATATTTAGCACAAAAAGATGGAAGTGTACCTTTTTGGGAATATGGTGGCAGTAAGTGTGCTAACCTATATTTATAATTTAAAAAAATAAAATTTTATATTTTATTTTTGTTTTAAAATGTATATAGATTAAACCTGACGATTTTCAGCATAAAGTATTTGTATAAAATTAACCGAAGATGAACATAAGTTATTTTTGTGAATTGAATATCATATACATCACATAAATGAAGACAATTAGTAAATACTTAATGAAATATTTTTTAATTATATTAATACATATACCATTTTATTTTAGATATAAAATAAAATATAAATATAAAATTTTATTTAAAATTTAATTATTAAATAAATAATAACAAATTTATTCAAATAAATTATATTTACTTATACTTTATATATCTATGAAATTAATACATTAAAGTTTTTTAAAATAAATTTCATGAAAAATGATCAAATATTTTACTACATATTCAAATATATACAAATATAATTTAAAACAAATATAATTATATAACCAATTTGTATTGATGAGTATTTTTTATTTGAAATTTGTTCTTATATTTGAACATTCTTTTATATGAAAGTATTAAAACCAGTAAAGGAAATAATATATTAAATGAAATATTGGAATTTAAATGACTTATAAATATTCATGTATATTTTTTGCTTATGAATCATCAAGAGTTATTATATTAAATGAAATAAAATTTCAATTAAAGAGCCCTTCTTTAATTTTTTAAAATTGTGTATAAAATGTTTTAAATTAAATGCTTATACAATGAATTAATTAATTTTGATATATATTTGCTGACTAGAATTTTTTTAAACAGTCCTTCATTTTTTATTTTCATTATTTTCATCTGTTGTTAATTTTTGGTTATATCAATTGAACTTTCATCTATTTAATTGATAATGGCTATTGCATATACCTTTCCCAAATGGTAGTATTGGTTGATTATAAATTTTTGTTAATAGTCATTTTAAGATTGTGTAAATGAAGGTATCATTGTCCATATATGAATAATAAGTGTGTGATCTTATGAAATTTTGAAATAAATAATACTTTTGTCACTGTAATTCTGTTTCTATTTGTAACATAGTCAATAATATTTATTAATTGACGTGTGAGATATACTTTTAAGTTTCATTAAAATTTTAATAATTTTAACTTAATAGTGTGAGATATTTTGTTAATAATATATTTTGTTTCTCCAACTTGTAAGAAGTTTTAATAAATACAACATAATCATAGATATTGGGAATATACCTTGTAATTGATGTGATAAGTTTAAAGAGTTGTCAAACAATTTTGTTTGGTAATTAGATGTTTATGTCAGGATAATACATTGTTCACTATATTAAATATTTAATTTTTCTCCAATTTATGTTTATCAAGTGTAATTTTGAATAACAAAATAATAATTAATATAGTATTTATTAAAAAATTATTAATAATAACCATAATACTATTTTAATATAATTAGAATGAAAAATTATTGAATATCAAGAAATTTATAATTACAGATTAGATACCTAAAACAATTTTAGGTGACTGATCTTTAATTGTATTTAAGTGGTTGAAATGATTTATTTTCCAGATGCCATTGCTAGTTCTGAGAATATTAGAATTGCTCCTTCATTAAGAAGTCAAAAAGGTAAGTTGTATGCAAAAACTGTATAAAAGTATAAACATTCTGATATAATTTTTAATTTTTAGGAGCAATTTGGACTAAGCAAGCAGTAAATTTTGATTGGTGGGAAATTGATATAGTTTTTCGTATAACTGGCAGGGGAAGAATTGGAGCAGATGGCTTAGCTTTGTGGTATACAACTTCAAAAGGATTTTACAATGGTACTGTTTTTGGAAGTTCTGATAAATGGATTGGGCTTGGTATTTTTTTTGATTCCTTTGATAATGATAATAAACGTAACAATCCTTTTATTATGACAATTCTTAACGATGGATCAAAAATATTTGATCATGCAAAGTAAGAAAAGTTATTTAATCTAATAAAATATGTATGTAAATATTTTATTTAATTAGTAATTAAATATAGAATTTTAAAATTCTAGTGATGGAGGTACTCAAGTTTCGGCTGGTTGTTTACGGGATTTTCGAAATAAACCATTTGCTACTAGAGCAAAAATAGAATACTATCAAAATTCTCTAACGGTTTGTATTATATTTTTAAATTTTAAATAAGTTACGTATCTACTTTTCTTTATTATATTATATTATGTAGTTATTATTTCACGGTGGTATGACAAACAATGAACTTGATTATGAAGTGTGTTTTCGACTAGAAAATGTATTTTTACCCAAATATGGATATTTTGGTATATCAGCAGCTACTGGTAAGATGGTTTATAATAATGTAATCTCTATTGAGGAAATATCAAATGTATTTAAAATAATTATGTATATTTTTAATTCTTTTACTTTTTATGTCCTCAATCTTTTACTTATTAAACATGTTATATATATATATATATATATATATATATATATTACGTTTATAAAGTTTTACAATTAATTAGAAATAATTAAGTTTTTGATCTATTTATTTATTCAAATTGATTTTGAAAGATAAAAAGTATCATTTCATATGGACATTATTATGTTTTTTATTTACTTAATTCTGGAAAAACAAAGAGACATTATATTGTTCTTATATATTTTTGCAATGAATTTTATTTAAATTTTTTGTTACAATTATTTAACAATTATTATTTAAATAGCTCTTCATGTGATTACATTTTATTTATTATTTTGACAGTCATGTTCTTATGTCTTATCAATTAAAAATAGATTCTATTTTGTGAAGATATTAAACATTGGAGATTTTTATAATTCCTGTTGGATAAATTCAAAAGTATGTACAAATAAAACAAATAAAATATTTTAATAATCGTGCATAAATTATATTAAGATTTAAAAATCATAATAATCAGAGATCCAATCATTAGGTTTAATTTTCCTTGCACATACTCATAGATTTATTATTCTTTACAATTACTTCTAAAAATTGTTACTCTTTTTAATGGATTATATCTTAAAGGCTGTTAAAATAATGATCAGATTAACTATTGAACTAATTGTTGATTTCAATATTGATATTTTGATCTTTATATATTGACCTTCCTTATTTTGATAGGATTTTTTGCCTAGTAAATTTTTATCGTGATACACATATTTACGTGCGTAATATATATCAGGATGCAGCGATATCTTTATCATAATCTCTATTATTTATTGATTAATGTAAGATAATTATTTTATAACATTTAAAGCATGTCCTATATAGCTTATGTCATTTTATCAAGAAAGAAAAAATAAATAACTGTAAGTAATACGTACTTTATTTTATTTACTGATTTTAGTCGTGATTTAATATACATTTTTAAGAATACTTCAGTTGATTTTGTACATAATGATCGGATATTGGATATATATGACTCTGAATAAAAAATGTAAATAATACACTTTTAAATATCGAAAACACTGTACTTTCTATTTCTTGAGATGCATTAAATTTATGCAGAAGTAATGAGTATTTCATGTTTAAATTAGTATACTGATTAGTTATGCAATAACATAAATGTCTGCAAGTTATTTGACGTAACGGATTTAATTATGTAATTAACGTACATTCATGATACAACATTTTGGTCACAGATTCTATACCATAATTGTCGTTTTTGTAAACCTACTAATTTACTGTGTTAAATTTTCTTAAATGTAAAAAGCTTAATTGTGTTTCATTTGTTGATACGTAATTAAATGCATAATGCATTCTTTATTACGCGAACAATAAGATTGGAGTGATGATGAATTTTGAAATAGAGTAAAATGATTTTTATATAGATACTGATGCGAGTATTTATAGTATTTACTTCGAATGATTTGCACATAGAAACTAATTTAACTACATTAAAAAATTTGTATTATAGAAGATTAAATTTATGATAAAATATTTACCTCTAACTTAATTTTTAAAAATCTTCATATCTCAATTTTTTCTATCATAAAGAAATATCATATGATCAAAATATTAATATATAATATATTTTAACTTTTATCGAAAATCTACACTATCAAGTTTGACACAACAGTCTCGAATTGATTTTTCAAAAGAAAAGTGCCCTATTATTCAGAAAAAAATAGTTTGAATGCTATTTGATACAAAATATCTTACAAGTATCTTATGTAGAAATAAAAACATCCAATAATGGATTCATATATTCTTAAAATGCTACTATTTGGCCTGAATTGACCTAATAACTTTTAATAAAACTAATTAGTAGGTTTTCTATCACTGACAAAATCTTTTATATTACATTAATTATACATTTATATTACATTAATTATACAATTTCAGATAAACAATATCTAGCATTGATTCAAAATAAAGATTTGAATAAATTAATAAAATCAGTTAACAGATATAATAATGCTACACAATTGTAAATTTCGGTTTGAGATTATTAAAATCATAAAATTTTCCGTGATAGTATTAATTCTTTCTCTAACAATTATTAGACAAATGGTTGATTATTGTTTTGATCGCGTGTGAAGAATCTAGTTAGTTCACTGAAGGGAACGTTTGCGAAAAGTATATTTTATTCCTCCAATTAATTCTATGTAGTTCTGAATTTCCAATTATCTATAGATGAATAGATTAAAGCGTTTAAACAGAACAACTATTAGAATAATTAAAAAAGAAGAAATATATATTCTTCCATTATGATTGTTAATAAGACTTTGTTCAAAATATAAAGAAAGGTTAAAAAAGATTTAAAAATTAGAAAGTATATATATATATATATATTATTGAAATGGAAAATTTTTCTGTTTATAACTGATAAACAATTTTCAACGATTATGTAACTAATCTGCACCATAGAATGCCATCACTGATTTTCAAATTAGTTATACAAATCATAAGAATGAAGATAAATGAAAAACTTCAGAAGGTCTAGTCTATGTATTAAACTAATATATTAAAATTCTAATAACGATTATATTTTTGAAAATTAACCAAGGTGATAAAAGAAGAAAAAAAATAAAAAGATAAGTAGAATAAAAATAAAAGCAATAGTGATATCGTGTTCATAATTTAAAAAAATATGTTGAATCAAAAAGAAATGAATGCTGAAATGTAATATAATTTTTTTATATTAAGAACGTTTTTTATGAGATATTTTAAAGTCTGAGAATTAATTGAAAATAATGTAAATGTTTAATATTTAAAAAAACCTTCGTAATCATGGAGAAAAATTAAAAATATAATTAAATAGTAAAATAGAGAAATAATTGGAAGTACTTTTCAGTTGAAATAGGTTTTAACTGCGTATACTACCATATGTAAAAATGTAGCTAGATCACTTATTCATATAGGGTTTTAATAAATAAAGCGGAAAAAATAATTTTTCTTATTTTTATTTTTCTCAAAATTATTTTGTATATTATTTATCTTATTATAACCTGAATTATTGAAGTATAATGATATACTTATATCTATCTAATTATTTTTTTTATATTTTTGGTCACAAGATCATTGAGTAGCTAATAAAGCATATCATGATCGTATTATAGACTAATAATTAAATATAGGATAATATACTTAAGGTATATAGAACTCGAAAATTTGATATGATGGAATAGACTATACACAAATGCAGCATCAGTGAACACTATAGATTAAACATAATAGTTGAAACTATAATAAAGGAATATTAATGTTATGAATATGTTCACAACATGTGAACATGAAAATTTGTTTCCATAAATTTTTAAAGAAAAATTAAAAAATAAATATAAAGTTTAATTTTAAATTAAATAGCTAATTGCTATAATACAGTGATTTAATTTTATCATATATATAAAAATAATAATGTGAAAAAGTTTTAAAATGTGAACATAGAATATTGTATATTGAGGGATAATTACGTATTACGGAATCAATAGTCAGATATGAGAAAGTGCAAATTACAAATAATACTTTATTTAAAAACAAATTCATTATGTTACACTTATAGAACACAATATGAAATACAATCGAATGAGATTTATACAAATTATTTTTATTTAATTATACAAGAAATATTAAAGATCCACTTACTAAATTACCTTCAAATGTTATACATTTTTAACATTCTTTACACAAAGATATTTCTTATCATGACAAAATTTTGTTAAGTTCTTGTAAATGCAAGAATAATTTTACGTGATATGTGAATATAAAGGTTAAAAAAACGAAGAATTGTCAAAAGAATGATATTTTTAATAGTACATTATTATTAACTATAATGTGATATAATCTAAATTACCTTAAGTAATTCAAACTAGTTTTGATTACCAAAAGATAATACGCTATCTATAGATAGCCATTTATAAGGTTTATAAATTTTATAAATAAGTTAAACAAGAAATTCCTGTAAATTATAAATGGAATTTATAAATACTAAACTGTTAAATTCAGTAGTTTGTACCTTTTACAAATAGCTATGTAACAAAATTATATAATACTATTCAAATGTTTTATTTACTTTAGTAAATAAGTATTACATTTATAAATGACGTTCTCAACAGAAACATCTTTGCTATAACAAAATTGTATAATTAATTACATATTAATATTGCATTATTATCAAATTTTTTATTAAGTTTATTGTTTGTTATTTTTATTAAATTTTTTCAATTATATAACAAATTCATTCGAAGTTATTTCATCACGATTATCGGTAATATATTTCATATTATATTTATTAAAAAAAAGAGAAAAAACAAATTAAATGCTTTTGTATATTTACTTTAAAATGTGTTTTATAAGTATTAATGGATCTATTTAATTTTTTAAAGTTGTGATACATTTTTAATAAAATTCATAGAAAAAATAGTGATTTAATTATTTTTTATGACATTGTACCTATTTTACTATTAATGTCAAAACCAGTTCCAATTTAATAAAATTTATGCGCTCATTTTTTGTTGTTTTGTTTCTATGATATACATTTAAAATTCTTAAAATTAAATTTAATATATAGAATGTGAATTGTATTATTCAATATACATACATAAAAATTGTTTATATAAATTTTTATTAATCAGATATTTAAAGATTAAAGATTCGTTTAATTTTAATAATACATTGTGATATTGCAGGTGGTCTTGCTGATGATCATGATGTTTTACATATTTTAACTACATCCTTATATCCACGTAGCCAAATTACCAGTAATAAAAAGGTGTCTACTGAAGAAGAGCTTAAACTAGGCCAAGAGTATCTGAGTTATCAAACTAAACTTGAGCGCCAAAAAGAAGAATACCACAAGTAAGCATATCGCTAAAAATTGTTGAAACAGAATATTTTTAATAAATTCCATAGGGTAATTTTTTAAAATCAATTTAGAAATCAAGTACTCAGTTATATTTTGTATTAATAATGTTAAATTAAATGTTTCAGAATTCAGTATAATATTTAACAATAAAATATATTATATTGATTGAACTTTGCAATATTCAAAAACTTCTATAAATTTTCTACAAATTAAAAATTCTGTTATGAAAGACCAACATTAATGTATTGAATGTTACGAATATGAATGTTTGGTATGTAATGTTAGCAGGAAAAAAAGAGGATAGTATTATATTTTATTTTTAAGTCACCGGAATCAATAGAAAATATTTTGATGTATATTCTAAAATATATAACAAATTTTTATTCAAGTAGAGTAATAATGAAAGATTAAATTGCTATTTATTAGCATTAGATATGTTTTAGTGTCAGATCTGTTTTGTTTTTGTCAGATTTGTTTTTTAATTATTCATTTGTATACATTATGTTTCTCGGAATTCTCCAAGCTTCTAAAGCCGTGCTTTCCCGGAATTTTCGAAACTTCTAAAAAAATTTTCTCCAACGTCTGCAATGTTTATCTCATTTCCACATAGCAACACCTATCCATTGCTGCCAGCTAACTAGGCTGGTGTGTGAATATTTAAAGCAAGCACACCACGAGACACTGCACTATTCAGCCACGGAATATTCAGCCATGAGTTAGTCAGTCAGGTGTTACTCAGTCACGCTTTCTCAGTAAAGCCATCAAATAAGGAGCACACGTCAATTTTTCAGTCCACAACAGTTAACAAGCAGTCAAGGGTGTTGACTGCATTACGAGAAAATATCTGACTACAAGAAGTATGGTATCTGTTCAGGATTGAACTACCCAGCAATAAAAATTTATTGCTTTATTTAATATGATTCTATTACATTTTTATTTCTTATTAATGCGTAATATTTGAAGTATTCGCTACGAAAATTCTCGATGAAATTTAAGCCTTATGCTGTATCCGCATAGCTATAATGGAAGATTCAAGAATCTACTAAAGCATGCTTTCCGAGAATTTGACAGGATTTTCAAGAATTACAAACTCTTAATGTACGCAATCATATATAAGGAAGAACGGACGACGAAGAAAATCAGTCTTGTTGAGTAAGTCAAAGTGAAATTAGTGCAAGTCATAACAGTTAAAAGTTGTACACGTCTGTCTACGGAAATCCGTGCAAGGTATACTTATTTGTTTACATTATTTATTATCTATTGCTGGGCAGCTATCGGTGCATCCTCCACAATTTGACTATAGTCAGACCGCATTCAGGACGACGACATAGACTAACATCTACAGCAATCTATTTGTATCATATATTATTATTGCGGCTCAGCGCCGACAATATCGGTCAGGCCTTCGAACTTGATTGTTATTACGACATATCGCCAACATTATCGGTCTGGTAACTCGGGATAGACTATCGTCACCTCGGCGCAGCATCGGCAGTATCAGCCGGGTCTCTGCAATCTGAATATTATCAGGCCGCAGAAGAAGCTGCCGATACTGTCTGGGAATTCCGGCGATGCCGTTATTATTCTGACAGTGCCGACATCCTCGGACAGGTCTTTGAAACTTGATTCTTATCAGACCGCTGAAGAGGCCACCGACATTGACTAGATAGTCCTCACAATTCATATCGCCAATGAGAGCGCCCATGGCCACGCATGTCTCGCCATTTCTTCGGTAATTACAGTTATGTTTCGCTAGTACAATTAAAGCGCCGACAGTTACTGCTTCCGTTTCACTGATACAATAAAGCACCTATAGTACGCAAAGACCACTCTCACCTTGCATACCTTTGTTTATACTGAATTTATGCACCAACATCCCCCTCCCCCATCACCGTTAAACCGTTGTACGGTCTAATCCAACCAGTTCTTGGTCTTCGGACCATTCTGGTGGCTGGATTTCCAAACAGTATCGAAATTCTTATCCTGAATGTATACCAGTATTCTGTATTGAAGTTAACTATTACACAAATAAGCCATACGCCCTTCAATTTAGTAATTATTAATGAATATAACAAACGATATAAAATAAATAATTAGATGAAATAATATATAATATTATAATATACGATATTATATATATATATATATATATATAACATAATAAAATATGTTTAACGAAGTTTGCATACACTGTTTATCTCTACAGTCCTTTGACTTAAGTCCTTACCTAAGCATCCGCTAATTGAGGCGATAAATAAACATGAACTATCGAACAACCCAAATTAAAGGGGACATAGCTGCGTTAGAGAAACTCCTCAATACCTATAATAAGGGGACAAAACAGTTACTAGCATTTGAAATCGCTGAAGATTTGTTGAACTGCATTATAGTACATCAGATCTCTCAGCAATTCGACCATACCACCAGGGAAATGTGGAAATCATCAATTGGCACTTCTACCTTATATCCGCGCCTCGATCAACTAAAGACCTTTCTAACATCTCGGCTGAAGACGCTAAACCAGGTCGAATTAATGACATCGCCCTAGATCATCCTAGATCAGCAGTACGGTTCCAACCTTTGGCAAGAAAAACATCAAAAACCTATAAGGTATCAGTGAACAATCAAACGGTTCATATGCGTGTATGAGTGCTGCACCAACACACATTCGAATCTTACATGTCCAAAATTTTGGGACATGACAGTAGTAGAGACAGCATTTAGCAATGCAACGCAGACTCAACTGTCTAAGACATCACAATATCAGATCGTATAGAACTTCTACAAAATGCAAGAGGTGTTCCAAACGGCATCATACTATGCTACACGAGGCATTCAAATCAGAAACTACTCCAGTCAATAGTTCAAACCTATCATCCAGATGAGATGATGGTGCAATCGTCGAAATACCAGTTTGTACCACCACAATTACGAAACCTGGCGAGCGGTTTTCCGTTGGCAATATGGTATGCAACTCATCAAGATGTTATTACCGCAAATAACGCGGATCATAATCTGGCCACCTTAATTACGTTTTACGATTGCTCTACAAAAATTCTTGAATTACGGTGGTATCGACAACAGGAAAGATATCGGTACAAGATGATAACATTAATAAACGACTCATTTTATCTGAAGTGGCTCAGATATTTGATCCATGGTTTGTTTCACCTATCATGATCAAATAAAAAATCATCGTGCAGGAGCTGTGGTTATACAAGCTCCAATAGGAGGAGACGCTATCCTCCAAATTGTTTTCAGAATAGCTTATCATTAGAAGAGGTCTCACCGATTTTACCAAAATTACAATACCACGTTGGCTCACTATAAAAAGCCCTTCACGCTTAAAGCTATATGTATTTTCTGATGCATCTCAATTAGTAATATCGGCAGTCATGTGCATATCCGTGCAGTATTCTAATTGGTGTTTTCCAAGACTAAAGTGGCACCTCTTAAGAGAATCACAATACCAAGATTGGAGCTAGCTATCGACCATTGGCAGTTCGAGCCAGAAAATCAACCATTTTTGAACAATACTTTTTATTTATATATTGCTATCAATTTATTATTCTATATATCTATATATGCTATCCAAATTTTTATATAATAAAAAAATTATAAAAAAATTAACGATAAAAATCAGCGTGACGTGATTATATATATTTTTTATCTACATGGTATCTATTTTATGTAGTGATCAGTAGCATAACATATTTTTAAGGTGTAAGAAAATTTGTGTAATGCATAGTCCCATCAATTATTTAGGTAACTTACCAAAAGTCAAAAATATTCCTTGGCAATTATACTAAATTTTAAATTTCAATTCTTTAATTGATGATGTACTTCGTTCTACAGAAGTTAGTTTTGTCGTTTGATAAAATAAATTGTAATAAAATTTAAATTCAAATTTTTATTGGAATTGAATTTAAGTAAATTTAATCAAAATAGTATTACTACTAGTTATTTAGCCTAACACCCCTGACAATTAATTGTAATAAAAATAATTAAATGCATATACTTAAAAATTTTTGTTTATAACTAGATCTAAAATATTACACAAATATCTTTTGTGTTATAAAATATAAATTCTTTGGTAGTTGCAAAGTGTTTTTTAAAATTTCATCTAGTATATAATAGTTGTATGAAAGTTTAATATTTAAATGAATTAATGTAATAAAAACTTGTTAGTTGATTTTTAAATGCGTTAATAAGATAAATAAATGGATATTATAATGCAATTAGTATACTTTTTGTAACAATTAAAAATGATTTGCTAATTATATTTTTGTCTTAATATATTCGAAGATTTAATAATTTCGAAGTATACTCTCTTTTTTATATCATTGGATAATTTTAAGAAAGCTTTTAGTTTGTTAACTTACAACTTTGATTATTCTATATACAATATTTAAAATTGATTGCTTAAATTTTGTATAAAATAGCGAATTGAATTGATAACATATAAAACAACACGAAACAGGACTTGTACTATGTTTAATTGTTTGAAAATCGACAGATTATTAAACATTCTTTGATAAGAAGAGTTCATACATTTTAGTGGATGGATCATTTTTATATAGTATGTAGCACATAAAAAACATTAATTTCAATTTCAAATTTACATCATATTAATTTTTTAAAATTCATGTTTTTATTATTTATAACAGTATTTATTACTGTAAAAATGAATATAAAAAAGTAACTCATTAACTTTTAGAATTGTATATTTACGTATTATACCATTATAAAAATTATTATATGGCCTTTGATTTATTTAAATACAATTTTAGAGAACACCCAGATGAAAGGCACGAAAAAGAATTTGAAGAATGGTTCGAAAGTGAAAATCAACGAGAATTAAAACAGATTTTTACAGGACAAATGCAAATATCTGATACTATGCGATCAATAAATAATAAATTAGATGAAGTGGTTGGAAAACAAGAAAGAGTATTGAGTCTTATTTCCCAAATTCCATTAGAAGGTAATTTAAATTGTATACAATAAATTAAATTATAAGATATACTATGGACTCTTTCAACTGCTTTTTAAAGATAGCAAAATAATGCCATCGTAATTGAACCATTTCACCTTTATTGTTCAATTTGTTATAATATCTTTCATTTCATTTTTGTAATTTATCGTTTTTTCAACTAACTATACATTTTTTTAATTTTATTTTTCTTTTTAAACTTAAAATTAATTCGAGGAATTGTAATGTAAAAATGTTTAGAAATTTTTTAAATGATTAACATTGTTAATCTTCTATTAATTGAAAGTAAATAGTTTTAGATAAACAAAATAGTCCACGTCAATTTTTATTTTATAATTTTAGAAATATTTTTCCTTCAAATCTATTTTTTATCTAGTTGCAGCGAAGGAATCGTAATCATCATTCAACATAAATAGATTATTCGTTACGAATATTGTTCAAATAATTATTAACTATTTTGTATTAATCAAAATAAATTACGGGTTTTTAAAATCATAAAAAGATTATATTTTAAACTGTTTATCAAAAAAATTGTCAATGATTATCCGTTTACAATATATATTCGTTTTATTAAAAATAATTTTTTCGGATATTTAGTAATTTTCAGTATTATTACAGCTCGATCACATGAAGGTAAAATTCAATCTAATCAAGCATCGCAAGTTTTTGAGACTATACGAAGACAAGAAATAGATTTTTTGTTAACAACTCAAAATAATATATTAAGTGCAGTACTCGAACTGAAATCTGTAGTAATAGAAGTTCAATCAAAAACTGATAATATTTTAAATAATCAAGCTCGAAATCCAACAGCAAAGGTAAATTAATTTAAATTTACAAATCAATAACTATTAATCAGTGAGATATCAAGTAAAATATTTCCTTTATTTAAAGGTTGAACCTCTGAGTTATGATTATCAATCCTTTATAACAGAAATACGAGATGGATTGAATACTCTTAAACGAGATGTCTTACAGACTAACACAAAACTTAATAGCCTTAAGTTAAACTGTCCTGCTGGAAATTGTCTTACTACAATAGTATTTATAATATTTATAGCTGTTCAAATAATTATTATATTGGGATATAATATATATAGGTAGTTTTTCTAGCCTCCTAAAAAAAATATATAAATTAATATCGTATTTTTATTTACAGAGATAATAAGGAAGCACAAGCAAAAAAATTTTATTAATATAAATGTATTACAAACTGAATATGGAAAAATATGTAATAATTAAACCATTCATATTGAATTGTTTGATATTACGTAACGTGTAAGACAATATATATTATATACAAACATTTTTTAATTAACAGTGTATTATTTTTTATCATATACTTTTAAGATTTTTTTTTATTTATACATATTCGTAAAATTGTTTATTTAAGTTCAGAATAAATAAATGTAAAATATAGACAATGTGCATTTAATAATATAAATTTTATAGCTTATCCATTATAGAGTATATATAATAGAATGATTGTTTTCTTAATTAAAACTACCTATTAGCCTTTAGATTATTTTTCATTTAGATGAAGTTGTCAGAAAAATTCTAAATTTATGTTTATAATAAACTAAATATGAAATAAATTAAATAATTTTTTGTCTATTTTAAGCTAACCGTTTATATTAAATCAAGTACATTAACGCAATCAATAATTTGCATTTTATCAGAAAGTATTAAATTTTAAACATTAATTCATATAATTTATTTATTTATTAATATTTATTAATAAAATAATTAACATAAGTCTATTTATCTATCAATTTTTACTATAATTCAGGAGTAATTTCAGATAGTAAGATCTATTGTAGTTATTCGTAAAAAAATTTTCACCTTTTTCAATTTCATTTTCATTAATTGACAAAGTATTTCATATTTCATAATTTGAAATTTATATTTATACAGTACAACAAACTTGAAATAGATTATTGTTTAATCATTTACAATTTATGCAATCCAAATTTGCAACCTCTAAGTATGATGCAATGATATTAAAATAGGTTAAAAAATATTTAATACCCTATTATTGATAAATTATTAGATAATAATGTGCTAGTTTCTGAATAATATATACTGTTCATGTTAATTATATCTTTCTCCTTGAACTGTTTAAAACTTATAAACAGATTATTTTTTAATGTCTCTTCAGTTCATAAAAATCATCTTTGTCAATAACATTGTTTCTTACTAGAAAAAGTATTCATATAGAGCATTATTTAATTTTTTTTATACTATATCTTATAATATTAATTTTTTATGTCTAGGAATATATAAAATAATTTGAAATTTCTTCTAAATATATTTTTGAATGACTACCCATTCAACTTTCCACTATAATTTAAGTAATTCAAAGATATCTGAATAATTATTTTCTATTTTTGATAAATATATAAATATATACTATATTTCCATCCAAGCCCATGTTAAATTTACTATAACAGTACATGGATATTAATACTTAAATCGATAAGCAGTATATTAAAAATTTTAATTTAAACGCATCCATGTTAAATTTCGAATTTAATAGTTTTATCCTGTTTGATTAATTATCGATATCGATAACTTATTGTCATTGTATTGATCATCATTTGTATTCATCAGTTATAAATGAATCAATGATGTGTGAATAAAAATTATTCAATAATTTAATACCACAGTATTGAGATTTGATGAAAATCATAATTTCCAATAGTTAAATTTGAATTGAATAATAAAAATTACAATAGACTTTACACTTTTTTATAGCCTTTAAGCTATAACATAACCTATGAAATATACTTTAGTTTGTTCTATAGTGTTAAAAGCAAAATATAAACATTATTTTTGAATATTATAAAAATTTAAATAATTTAAAATCCTAAACTTATTATAATAAATATATTTTGGGATTAGATATTCTGAATAAGAAATTTCAGTTTTAACTTTATTACATTAATTTTTCATTTTAATCATTTTTAACGGTAATTGTTTTTCTTATAACTTATTTGAAGCATATGTTTACATATATTTGCATATAAGAATTTCATGTAATAATATAACAATGTATACTGTAAACTAACATTTAATATATTTAAAAAAAAATATTTCCATTAAGTCATTTATAATATAAACGAATTTATTTAATTTAAATTTCAGAAACAAGCTTTTGAAGATCACTAATAGATCTTGAAAGAACTATTTTTTCTTGTTCAGGTGTAAATGCTTTCTTTACGTTTTCTACAATCCATTGAACCATATATTTCTGTGCAAGTTTTCGTTCAATTTTTTGAAGTTGTACTTGATAATCCAAGCGTCCTTTTACTGCTTCATACACAGAAGATAAACGTGCTCTATAAGCTGCTTCTAATTGTAAATTGATATTATCTTTTTTAATATCAATTATCATTTTTTGACCTTCGGTTCTCCATTGTTCTTTTTTTTCATGCTCAATAAGTTCCTGGAATTCTTTTATTTTATCTTTTTTGGAAGATTCTAGATTATTTTCATACGCATCAATATGTTTATCAAGAAATTTAGCAAAATCAGCTCCATATTTTTTGTGCAATACTATGAACAATATAATAAGGCTTACTCCATTGTAAAAGTCATGATCAATTACGTATATTTCTTTTGACAATAAATAAGCAGATAGTCCAGTAGCAAAAATATAAGGCCCTGGAAATAACATAATATTACTTAAATTAATACACCGATTAATATTAATAACAAAATTATTAAAATATATTATATTTAGTAAGTATTCACTATTATTATATTGTAAATCCAATTTTAATTAATTTATTAATTAATGAAAAAAAATGAAATTAATAAAGCAACATATTTACTAGTTAACACTATACTATGTAAAGTATATTACATAAATTAAATAAATAATATATGGTAGTATATATGTTTACAGTGCTTAATTAAACTTTAATAAAGATTGATGGAATTTGAGCAAAGTTTATTCATATAATCCAAAATTGTTTTATTACAAGATTTGCATTCTCGAAAGGGAAGTTACGTTATATTTTGTAATATTTTGAGTGCGATACACTTGTAATCAATTTTAATCATAAAAAATATTTGGTATAATTATAGAATTTTTGCAATTCAGACAAATTTTAAATATAGAAACCACAATTGCAATTGACGATTAATGATGAATAATTAAATTTTCACACGTTGAATTACCAAAATCCAGTGGTTTATCAAAATAAAGGATATACACATAAAAAATGGTAAAAGCTAATTTCTGCACTTACTTTTTAAAAGATATTTTTACATAACATTCATTGGATAATTGTTAAATCGAACGAATCTTATAATTAAAAATTTAATAAAATATTATTAAAAAATATAATTTATACATATCTTCAATACGTAAGAACAATTGGAGGTACTAAATATAATTGTTACGTTTAAGCGGTATACAAAGTGGGAGAGGTGAAGACACCTGTGCTTAGTTAGAAACATTTGCGCGCCGAGTCGTAAACACTATTCTGTTAAATTGGGAAGCTTCACTACGTAAAATATTCGAATATTACATTATAATTCCGACTAACTCCCCAAGGTTAGACTCTAGTGACGTTACTCTAACATTCGGCATGGCAAGAGTAAACCGGTAGTCACCGGACCCGCAAGCTTGTACTAGGATATTTAACGAACTGCGCTTGACTCTCTCGTCCTCTTGCTAGTACCAATCACGCACTCTCCACATCGGGCTCGCTATCCAACCTGCAATCGCCATTATAAAGCCATAGCAAGCATCAAGCAACCTAAAGAACTAATAGCGATGCCACAATTATTCCAACACTCTTACTACTTCAACCAAACACTCATCACGACAGAATCGCCATTCTACAGATCGGCTTCAGCCCGCACGTAAGTTACGACACCATGCTCGTTCTTACGTCTTACCAATACAAAGGAGATCGGCTTCAGCCCGCACGTAAGCTACGTCATCAGACTCATTCTTACGTCTTACTAATGCAACAGTCCCTGTCAACTACGTAAGCAGCAACACAGTACTAATGTGCACCAATACCATTACTACATCTAATCTCACGTACACATACGCAGCAGCGCATAACGAGCGTCAATCACCACTATAGGTATAAGAGCGGTCCTCGCGCTCACTTAAACACCGCACACTATCGATATTGCGTTACACCGATACGAGTAAATCTCCCACTCTGTCAAGCAGTGATGTAAGACGGACATCTTTCCACCACCCGACTACAGCGTTCACCCTACTCCGGCGGCACCAACTCGCTGCCCTTACCAGCACGAGTTTACCACTACTATTACTCAACTCATAAGGAGAAGGGGACTCACGCTCCAAGCTATCAAGAATACATTTACAGACTTATCGTCACTAACATTAATTGAAGAAACACTCATCGATTCATTGTCTCATACATTCATTTCGACATCCACAGATCATTGACTATTTATTATATTTATTCTTATTTAGAAAAGAATCTATTATATCTACTTACTACAAAATTGCTAAGTTCAATTTTTTATCGTTAAGAATTTAAATTAAATAAGAGTAGCTACCACGAAAATTCTAAATTTACGTATATGGAAATACTTTCACCTTATTGGGAATCCGAAATTTATTAATTTATACAATTTTTTTACTTATATTCACTTTTCTACATTTAAATTAATTATGTACATGAATAATGAACTAATCTTATTGGAGCTTACATATACACATACGTAATTCCTATATATAGATTTCCTAAGGAAATGCTCCACAATATTTTAAAACAATAATTTTTCAAATCAATAAAGAAAATCACTAACTAAAAGTGTACTATACATAATAAAAGTCTAAGTATTAACAATAACAAATATTTTTCGTAAAAAATTAATTTTAGCGCTGTTTCTTTGTTGAATAGTATACTTCGTCCAACAGTCATATTTGAAGATTGTCCATATTCTATGATTTATATTTTACGCTTTAGTTTTATGTCAATTGATTGAGTTTCATATTGTTTTAATGAATTTATGAACTTGTTTCGGTAAACGTTTATTATTGTTTTGTTCTGGAAGGAATTTCCGTTTTAACAATCGTATGGCAAACTTTGCTATAGCCTTCTTTTATTTCTCAAAAGTTTAAATTTGTTTTATATCACGTATGTAATGAAAATATTGATTAAGATTTTGTAATGTAATATTCGTCTTTACATGGTTTTATTAAATGTACGCATTGTTATTATTACTTTGCCGGTTACATATTAGATATAAGAATTAGGATTTATATTTTATTCAATATAACGAATTGGTACAAATATTAATTTATATTACAGTGAAATACAGGATCGGATTGCTGACGTATTAAAAGTATTTTCATATCACAATATTCATATAAAATATTTATACGATATTCTTATAATATCGGCCGTTATATTTACTATTTACATTAAAAATGTTTTAAATACTTTAATATATTCTTTCATGTATCTTGAAGTTTCCATCCGATTTTCAGACCGTTTATGCAATATTAAAGTGTTACATACGTATTTACATATATTAAGCAAATTTTTTTTTTCATTTATTAAACTTCGATAAATTTCCGTCATATTTACATACATGAAAGTATTTCAATTAACATGACATTTTGTTCTTTTTTTATATATACATTAGTTTTAAAATTTGTGTATTTAATTAACTTTATTCAAATTAATTATTTTGTTTTTTAAATAATTGTTTTACATTAAGTGCTGTTTCAATTTCAGTTTATTTTCCTACTGGAATTACAATAAATACATTTAAATACATTACAAAATACATTTAAAAGTAGTTAATTCATACTGTATTAATGAATTATCATTTTTAAGAATCAATGCAGAAAACTATAAAAAAATTTATTTAAGACTGTTTTAGTCATTTTTTAATTATATGTACATTATCAATTTGTAACAATACGTTAGTCTTTTAGAGAATACAATGTTTAAATTAATGTTGACCCAGGAAGGTGTTATATTTTGTTTAAAAATTTAAATTCTTTAACCTATTTTTAATTTCTTTAACCTTTCTTTACTTTCTTTAACCTTAACAGGTTAAAGAATTTAAATTCTTTAACCTATTATATAACACTTTTTCGCAGAATAATATATTCAGAAACGTTATTTTGCCTTTGTAACGTACATAAATTTTTAATACAGATTTATATATTTTCAATATTAAATTTAAAAAGTTTATTACTTCATTATATAATACATAATAAATAAAATCGACGGATTAGTAATTATAAATTTGAGCCTATACAGAGCAATATAAATACATTGCAATTACTAGAATGAAAATGATTTAAATGATAAAGAAAATAGTTAATTTAAGACCATAGAAAGCATACACCATAAAAATACAATATTAGAATTATTTAAAGATAAATTATCTTGCAGAATGTATAATTTTAAATCTCATAAAAATGATTGATTATTGTTATAATTAAATTAAAATTATCTAATACTGATATACTGTAATTTATTTAAAAAAAAAAGGATAATTTACAAAGTATTTTCTAATATCGAAAAAATGAATAAGGAATTACTAAGATAGGTCAGATAGAGAAAATATAATCTCTGCTTTCAGTCAAGAAAACTAATTTAGACTTGTTGAAATACAAAAAACTCATTTTAATTTTTGAGCCGAAAGTTATAAAATTAAATCTATGTAATGTTTAATGTTAATTTTTTATATTCCTTTATAAGCTTTATTTATTAAGCTTTATTTTTAAGTGGATCTTCACAAATGTGAAAACAGTTTTCATTAATATTTCTATTTTATAAATGCAATCTCCTAACTAAAAAAGCTCAATGCATAAAATATAGTTTTACAGTTCAAAAACATTTTAATTATTTTTTCTAAGTCCTAAAATAAACCATCTATTATTTCATTTTGAAGTCTGATTTTATTTGTTATAATTTTCAATAGTTGAAATAGTATTATTTATTCCATACAACATTTAACATGCACACAAGCATCTTGCATATTGTGTTCATTGTTACTATTAAACTTCAAATCAAAGTACAAAATTTATTTCATCTATTTTCTTATATGCTTATATATTCATAACAATAAACAATATCTAATTAATGATCAAAGTATATATTTATAAAGAAAAATTATAATAAATACTTAACTCCGTTATAAATTATGTTAAAGGTAAATACCTGTTACACCAGTTTTTGGATAAAAAACTGTACACCATTTTTCTGGTACAAATCCATGACGAACTGGGGAAGGATATTCAGGTCGAATTGATTTTTTAGTAACTAATAAATTAGTTGAAAACATTTGTGGTCGAAAATATGAAAATGCTGTAAGTTGACCTACAACATTAATTATTTATTATACTTTTACTATATTTTAATTATAATAAACTATATTATGTTTGTTCATTAAATGATTGTATGTAATAATAAATTTCAAAGAGTTTTCGTATATTTATCTTAAATTATATTTGGTTATTTTTTTTAATTTTCATACTTTTACATTCCTTCGACAAAGTATATTTCTGATTATTTCTTCAAAACATTGTCTATTGTGTTTAAAAATATGCACGGTTAATATACATATATTGCAAACAATTTTTATGCTTGAAAATGTAATTGAAAAACAAATCAAATTATAAATACAAATGCAATCAGATTATAATCTAATATATAACTTGTTGTATATCAATTTTGAGGAATTGCTTTTACATATATACTATATTTTAATATTATGTACAACTGTAATTCATTATCAGTATTTTTTATATCAAAATCTAAACTAAACGTATATGTACATTACAGAAACATCACACCGGTACTTCGATGGGCAGATTACTTACAAGAATGAAATATTACTATCCTGACTAATATATTAGATTATGGAGTATGATTTTTTAAACATGATTAATTTCTCTGTATGAAATGTATAATAAATAAATGCTTGAAATTACATATTTATTTATAGTAGAATTATTTCGAATAACAGGTTAGATTTTATATACAACTAACACAATAATATTGCCAACATTTAATATAATCTATATTAATTTATAAACATCGATACATTCATAACATACTTTAGTTATATAAATTTTTTTTTTTAAAGTAGATATATTAGGAACTTGTATTCTAATCATTCAGTTGTATATTTAACTTAAATAATATAATTAATTATTGCTTTTTTATAAGTAAATAATGGCAGACTGATAGATGTCTAGATTAAATACAAAATAAGAGATCGATCATAAAACATTCACAAATAACATTTTTTAAACTTTTTACTTCAGTTATCTATAAAATTAAACCACGATTATAAATTTTTGTTTTAATGTGAGTGTCGAATGGAATAACAAAATTAAATGTTTTTCCATATATCTTTTTGAAAATTATCAAGTACTTAAAATCGTAAGAAAATAATGCAGAACGAGAGTGAATGAATATGTGAGCATGATGTTCAACGCATTATGTATGCTACATTTTTCTTGCTTTATCTCTTGTATGTGCACTTTCATTTTCCACTTTACTTATCCTTTAATTTACTTTTCGTCACGCCATATGTACTATTCCATTCATTTTTTTGCTTGGTAATGTAAATAATAATAGACATTTCAAAAAATGAGCGTAAAGAAATTTATAGTATACAAATAAAACATGTCGTTAGAATCGATAAATTATTACAACTCTTTTTTTTTAATCGCAAAATATTAATCTCATTGATTTCAGTCTACATTTTATCTCGTCTTTATATTTTTTCTGTAGAACATTTTTATACCCTACAGAACTTAATAGCATCTATATATATATCCGTGAATATACATTCGATTAAGTAATAATTTATATAATAAGTGGTATTTATATTAAGAATGTCATTAAATTATTATTATGAAATATAGATTTAGGCTGTAAATAAGTAAATAATGTGAATAAGTTTACTTTTAATCAAGGAAATAGAATAAATATGTATTTTACTAGAAATGATTCATTTTATTTATAAACTTAATATTTAAGGATATCTAAGGATTTTCTTAATACTCTCTAGAATAACCACTTATTCTTTTAAACAAAGGCGAATCTCAACAAACCTAATCGAATTAATTAAAATCAGAATGCTATAAAAGTACGTATTATAATGAAATAAATGTTTGCTATTCTAAAAGCTGATTTACCTGCATAAAAATGTAAAATGAGATTTTTTCGATTTTATTACATTCAGATTATTTTTCACTTATTATTTTGTAGTTTATTATAATTATTATATTGTCAATGATTTATTATTATTAATTAAAATACATATCAGTAGAAAATTGTTATGTGCGATTTTAATTTATGGTTTACTTCATACCTAATTGTTTTGGATATACCATTGGACTCCATAACATACAATTCACTTTTCTTTACAGGAAATCTAAATTTTATAATTTATGTATTTCATAAATATATAAATGTTTTATCATATAATTTATTTCTACGTGCATTTATTTTAAGCACGTTTTTAAGTTATAGAAAAATATTAAAATGAAAAAATTCATATTGGTTTGAATAATGATTAAATTAATTAATAACTACAAAAATTATTCATATTTTATTGTTTGAGAAAATTTTTTATATTTTATTAATTTATAAATAAATATAGTTTTGAGTAAAAAGCATGCTTTATGTTTATTGTTAAAGAAAGTATAATAACATGCAATAATAACATATAATATATCTTATCTTGACAATGACACAAATTTGGATTCAGATACTGAGTTTGTTCGATTTTAGTGATGTAATTCTTGGCTCGAACTGCCAATACTTCGATAGCTTCGTTTGCCGCCCGCCCTAGCAGACGCCTGGGATGGATATAAGTGAAAGGAATTGTACAAGAGTCGTGAGAGTTGAGTAATTATACATTTATTATACAATTTATTACACAATTTACATATGGGTGTTGTAGAATCTTCTTGAGTCTAATATGAAGGTACGATTTCTTGAACAGTTACTTGCATGGGATGTTTCACTACACAAGATGCTCTTGAGATCGTTTAATGGATGTTGAATTGAAAGATTGTAAAAACAACTAATTACTGCACACTCCTTGTCAGAGAGTGTGAGATAATATTAATAGTCGTGTTGTGCCGGTTTTGCCGCCGGCTGGCAATAATTGAGTAGATAGCGCGGATTTGTGTACTCCCAGCGATACCGTAGTCTTGATCTGATCCAGGGGTGAGTGGTTCACCAGGGCACGCGGCAAGACAAGTGCGTGCAGGATTATCCTTATACTCACAGGGATACAGTATTCTTGGTCTGGTTAGTGGGTCATCAAAATATACTTATCTCTAATTTATTAATACGTTGCGTTGCGTTCTCTTCCGACTTGGCTTCTCTAGGCGAATAATCCCTTTTACTTGACTTTTCCTTCGAGACAGCCCTTGGCTGTCCACGCGAGCAGTTTTCTCGAAATCCCCCTGCGGACAACGACCTTTCGCTGTATTGTTCCCACCTTTAAGGCCTCTTGCCATGAGTCCCCACTCAAGGAGCTTCTGGTCTTAGTTTTCCACTCAAAGCGCGCCGCTTTTACTATGCTAAATGTACACGCCCTTTTCCCACTTCCAAGGAAATTAGGCATGGACAATGAGAATGTCGGAAGAGTACCGCTGGTGGCAACGCCTAAAGTGGAAGATTTACCCTTCTTCGGGACTCATCGTGGTGGGGGTAGATTCTTGCTCAAGCGTCTTCGCCTAGCCGATGCAAACAGCAACATTTGTCGTACTTGACAAAAATGTATGTTTGCTGGTGGCACTGAAGGCACATGCGCGGCAATATGTTGCAATGGATTTTAAGAAATGTTTTTCGCTCAATTGTTTTCAAATATTTTAATCCTCAAAATATACTCTAGTAAACAAGCTAGCCGGGTTTTGATGGTCACAAGGGTCTTCAGTGCATTCAAAACAATTACTACATCTGTAGTACGATAGGCAATAAAGTGGCTGTTTAGGAGTACGTTCCAGATGTACTAACCTTTTCGAGCCTTTAGCAACCTTGGCGAGACTTTCTTAGATTTTTATGTCCGTTCGATATTTCTTTTTATAATAGCCGTTGAAATTTTCCTAATGAATACAATTCGAGAGATTTTTGTTTCACTCTCGAACAGAGTTCTTTAATTAAGACTGACTGACTAACTGAATATATCCACTAAAACAACATCACTAACAGTAATATAATTTATTGTTTATAAGATCAATCCATTTTTGTAATATGATTATAAACAATTATTAAACTATTCGTCAATGGTACAAATAAAGAGTATACTGTTAATGTAGCAATTAATAAATTAGTAAATACTTCGAATAAACAATTTAAATAAGAAAAATTTAAATAAGAAACAATTTTCTTTTACTTTTATTAAACAATTAGCAACAAAATTTGCTAATTTAATAAAATAGTAGATTGTACAGTTGTTAGGCATTTATAGATCAAGTTTTGTCACATATTTTATGTTATTCATTAGTATTTGAACATTTTCTCTAAGCTCTTGTACAATCTAGAATCCAAATCATAACATGTCATTAAATACCATTATAATTCTAAATTTGCCAACATTCAAATATAAATATAATTTACTTTTGAAACCATTTTATTTATTAATGTCTCAATATTAAGATTTTCCGTTGTAGCATCAATTTTTATTGCTGCAATTTTTAACTGCACTTACGATCCTCAATTTTAAAATAAGTCTTTCCATTAACTTTTTAATTTAAAAAAATTCATAATTAATATTTTTATATCTACTTAAATCTAATGACAATTGAAATCGTCAGCTTTTTGTAACCTAACATATTTGTTCAACATGTTGCAAGATCCTTAGTAAAAAAATAAATATGCATATCCTCATATATAAAGATTCATAGATGGAATGTATATATAAACATTAACAAATCAAAATATCAGAAGATATTACTAGAAAAATATATTTTGTAAATATTTTTTGGTATCATAGATATAGCAATTAACTTTATAACCTGTAAAACTTGAAATAATCTTGAAAATTGTAGTATTATATTTTTTGATATATATATTTATTCATAAATTGGTTACATAAAATGAAAAAAATACAAGTATTTACTTTTAACCATAATATAATTAGTACTGTTCAACTTAAATATATTATTCTTCTACAGTGAATTACCTGCAATGAAGCTAACATAAAATAACTAATCAGAAATACTGAAAGATCACAAGCCATTTATTGAAACTTATTAAATATCAAACATAAGAAAAATTACTGCAAAATATTAATATTGATTAAGCAACAAATAAATATAGATTTTTTCAATTATTTATTGTTATTGCAATATGATTAAAAGCTATTGCTTTTGAAACTGTACAATAAAGTCGTTATTGATAGATTCGCATATATACTCACAAAAAGTTTAACTAGAATATTATGTATTAATTGAATATCATATTACATTATATTAAATTTCTTTTTATATTTCATTTATGAAAAATACATTTTTCTTTTTAATTTCAATTCTTTTGCCTAAACATTATTCTACTCTTCAAAATATCACAGAAGGTTTAGACTTAGATCTCAATGTTACGAAACTATGAGTAGATTAGTTATCTGAAGAAACGTAAGGAATTTGTTATTGATTCAAATGTATCACAACTTATATTCCAAAAATTTTAATTTGATTTAAATATTTTCGACATGGTAATATCCAAAATAATGTAAGTTCACTAATCTTTTGCTGTATAATTATAATATAAAATTAATCAATCAATCGTATTTTGGCTAAAAATGATTTCCATTATTCCCATTCATAACATACGAGTTTTCTGTTATTATTAAATTTCCTTTATATTTTCAATACTTGTATTAACTCAATACTTGGAAAATAAATTTTTTGATTTTCATCATCATAGATTATTGAGTTCATTTCTCTATGTGTTTTTTATCATCATGCTTACTATATTTGGCATGATATTTATAATTCATATTTCTTTCTTTCATTCTCCAATTTTATAATACTTATATTTATTTTGACATTTTCATCGTTATACAGGTGCAATAATATATGAAATGCTTTACATATGTAATTATTTTATCCCAAATCTTCAATTTCTTCAGACATTTCAAAAACACCTTTTATTAATTAAAATATGATTTCATATTAACAGAAACAAAAGCATACTACGTGATACATTAAATACTAATAAATATTTTATTTCATTAATTAGCAGTTTTAATTAAATATCAGTATAAAATTTTTAAACTTGAAAAATTATTAGATTTTATTAGATTTTACTTGCTTTTATAAAATGAACAGTACAGTAGCTTCATTTTACTTACATATCAAATCAATTAATTTACAAAAAATATTAAATATATTTACAATACAAATTCTTTCTAATTATAAAAATTGTACTCTTTATATAATTTAATTGATTATTATTTTTTTATCTTTTTTATTTGATTCTCTAAAGTAATGTTATAAATCATCATTCACAATTATCATAAATTTTATATTTAATTAACTTTGTAATAAGAAATTCTTTATTTAATTGAATATTGACATTTCAATAAAAATTATTATTCAATTAAAACTTATTCAACATATATTCTTCACATTTGTAATATATGCAATTCTAATTTCTCAATTTTCTTTATTTTATTGTATAATTTCCTATTTTATTCATAATAAATAGTTTTTATTTTATTTCTATATATTTATATATATTAACAAAAAAAGTTTGATTTTTCAATGGATCTTTTATCTTTGATTTTTTATTGTAATAAAAGAAGATTAAAATTCTATCATAAATATATTTAACTAAATTATATAATTTGAATATATCAAAATAATTATGCAAATAATCAAAATACATGCATTAATGAAAAAAATAGTTAAGCTTTTAAAATTTTAAACAATATATAAACTTTTATTTAATTTAAAATATACAAGGATCATTTTTATCATTAAAAAATCTACCCTAATTCAATAAATATAATATTTTTTGAATTATGGTATACTTTGTTTCAAATTCATTTATTAAAGTCATTATTTTGCATAAGTATTTTTATAACATAAAATATAGTCACAACAATAAAATGAAATAAGTCTAAAAATTTTAATTCCAACAAATTTTCTTATAGATAACAATTATGACTAATTACAGAAATTAATATAACATTTTAATAGACCACTTGAACTTTTTTTGTTTGAAAAAGAAATTCAATTTAAGACAAAGGAAATATAAATCATAGTATTTATGTTATTATATTTTATATAAAACCAATAATTTAATAAAACTAAATGCACAATATTTAATAAAAAAAAAGTTATCACACTTATCAACATGAATCTTGACCTTATATAAATGTATACAAATTATTATTGTAAATATTTATATATTCATTATTAAAATTAATATTTTTTACATATTTATTTAATTATAGATATTAATGTTTAAAAACGGTAGATAATTATGTAACATGCATTGATAGATAATAAACACGTAAATATTTGTTATTAATTAAACTTGAATCAATAAATAATAAATAAAATAAGATTAAAAATAACATACACTACCTTTATGAATCATAAATCGTGACATATTTTCTTAATATTGTAAAATAAAATTGATAATTTATTTAATGGTCTTCTCAGATTAGTTATATATTCTCAAAAGTTGTATGAACTTAAAATTAATATAGTGTGTCTTTTCGTCATGCGCAGTTATGTTAATTGAAATGATCAGAAAATCCGTATAAAATGCAATATATAAAAATATATATATTACCATAATATTACAGATAATATATTACATACAAAATAAAGTTAATATAAAAATGGTAACATTTAATTTTTGATTTTATTATAAAAACAAAAAGTAATTTTTATATTTAAAGAATAGTATAAAATTATTTTTAAAATTTGAATGCTAATATTTGAATTATTAAGTCAATTTTTTCGTCATTCATAAAAGCAAAAATATTTTCTAATGTTTGACCTAGTGATATATCACTTTCTATATATGACTTTAAAAATTCCCTAAAGAATATCATATATAATAAAAATTTCTATTGCAGACATACTTTATTAACATTTCATAAATACCTTATGAATATTTGGTAATTTTATTTACCTTCATATTGTAATATAAATTTATCGCATTTTTATATTAAAAATTCATGCAATATTAATGAAAAAGTTTATCACTATATATTATATTTTATATTTTAAATATTGTATAATATAAATGTTCAACATAGTTATAATAATAATTATAATAATTCAAAATCACTTTATTTACAATTCATATATTTAATTTTTCAATTAAAAAAAATCGTCTTAATAATTATTAATTTCAATTTTTTAATTGTTTCAAACTAAAATTATTTTATTTAAATAATATCAACCTATTTTTATCTAACAATAGAAGTATTCCGCAATATTGATTAGTTCATTATATTTTTTTATATTTCTAGCGAATTTAACCACAATATTTTTGAGTTTGCTTTAAATTTTTCAATTAATTTTAGATGTCTTTTTTTAATTTATAATTTTATAGAAAGCTATAATGTAATTATTATTTTTAATATTATATGTATTTTCTTGTATAATAAAATTACTACTGATCGATGTATTCGAGTTCATTAGAAGATTTGATATTGTTATGATCACTATTTACTATATTAAATAATGAAGTGATATAACATTCATTATTCCCCAATTTTCAAAATTTATTAATTTCCATGTTGAGGATAGATAATTATTTTCAAGATATAATTATCTGATTTAAAGGTAATTAAAAATGTATATAATATATCATTTACCATATTATAACTTTTATGCATAAGTTTTCAGAACATTATATTTTTCTATAATTTAAATAAATAATAAGAATGTGATTTTTCAATCAGAATATTTTCTGAATCTATTAATTGAATGTTTACTTCTCTACAATCATTTGTTGACTATAAAATATATTTTTATTTAAAATTATCATGATAATTTTTAATATTATTCGATAACATATATTTCGTTATGCATATAGAGTAATTTTTACGCTTAGCAATCAATTTTTTTTATTAATTTCAAAAAATTTTTATATTATATTATTAAATAATAATTTTCATAAAAAGTTTTTCTTATCCTTAATTATTATAATTTTTAAAAACGAATACAACATATTTTTTAGTTAAAAATTTAAATTGAGACGTCTCCTTAACTATGTCTATTTGATATAATAATTTACTGAGAATATTATATAACAATATATTTTATTATTATATTTACTCTCTATGTATATATTTTTATTAATAGTTGCAATAGTATCTTTGTTTATGATTGAACAGTTTCCTTTGCATATTTTACAACGCAACATTTAATTAACGAGTTCTAAGGTTTTATTGAAATTACAAATATTTACGAAAGAATGCGGCTTAGGAAGTATAATACCGTGCTTATTTAGAATGAAAATAGAATACTAAAAATCAAGAAGTACATAAGACATATTTAAAAAAATTATTTACTTGTATTGTGTATGTATGTAAAAAAACTATGTTTTTTTGTAAATTGTAAAAATTGTAAAAAAAATACTATGTAAAAAAAAAATGTACTTATACATAGTAAAGATAATTGAATTTTTACCATTTAAAATATAAAAATTAGATAATTTATATTTCATATTATAAACAATTTAAATCGTTTCTTACATTATATACATTAATGATAGATTGGCAATAATAAACCAATATAGTTTCACATTATTCAGAAAAAAAATTTAGAATTTTATAAATCATTAAAATTCAATATTAAAAATTATTTTCATGAGCCTTGTATTATTTTTTAATTTATTGAATACACTTATAGTGATACAGCTTACTTTGATTATAATTAATTTTTCCTTATTATATCTATTGTTTTTTTTATTCATTTTTTTTTTAAATATATTAAAATTATATATATGTAGAACTTTTTAATTTTTATAAGTGAAATTTAATTAATATCTAGTTAGGTAGTTTGATAAATAAATGTATATCTAATTACAAAAAGATTAGTATAAATAATTAAATAATAAACTTGATTCTGTATAAATAATATAAATATAGTGATTCATATCTCCAATATTATATCTTGAATAACTCCGTTTATTCAATTTATTAGTGCCATTAACGAATAAATCTATTATTAAAAAATAAGGCTATGTTATGGTTCCAATATTTATACTGGTTAGTAAAAATTATATGACATTGAGATATATAAAACGAAATAAATGAATATAAACAAATGTCATTACTTACGTTGCAATGCTCATTACTTTATGACATGATATTTCCATAATTGAAAATCACAAGAAATTATTTCTTGAAATTGAATTTAATTATCAATTCATTTACACACAAAAAGTAAACATTTCAATAGAAAATTAATAGTCCTATTAAATATATTCAGTTTTTCAACTTCATTTACTAACATTTCGAATTATTTTATGTACATTTGTAGCTGTCAAATATGTGAATTTCATAATTAATTCTTAAAAAAAAACATATATATACTAATAATACAAATAATGTAATTTAATTATTTTATAATGAAGTAAAAATATTAAATTAAGTATTAGGGTATCTGAATAAGTGATAACTAATATAATAAATAATATCTGAAATGTTCTTATAAATAAATGGTAATATCAAAGAATATTTAACATTGATCAAGTTGAAGCAGATACAGTTTTTGAGATAAAATAAAAGATTTACAAAATCACTTATATTACTATTAAAATAAATTTTTATAATTTATTTTTCTTTATTTTACAATTTATATAAACACAAATTTGAATAAATTCTATATATTTTTAGGTAGTTGATAAACAAGGTAAACAATATAAAAATTGAAAAATATTCATTTTCATCATCAATTATTAAATAATAATTTGTATGCAATAGTTTCATATTTTTATTTTTATTAATAAATTATTGGTATTATATTATTTATAATGAATTACAAAATAGTTTAATGAGCTAACACATGACGACCTTTAAGAATTCGTCTCATAAGAACTTTACGGCCATTTAGTGTTATCAAACGTGCAAAATATCCCTGATGACTTCTTTTTTTTTCATTTGGACGTGCAAAATAGCACTTTGTATTTGTACGAATTGTTAAAATATTCCATATTTGATATTTGAATCTGAAAACAGTTTATATAATATATAGATCATTATGACGCAAAAGATATTAAAATGAATGAAATTGCCTACAAAATATAACAATTTGGAATAAGTAATAACAACTATGTTATTTTATTAATTATTTATTAATGTTTATAATTTTGGCCTATACAATGGCCATACTTAATCAATCGGAAAGTGATAATTATTTTGTGAAAATTTATTAAAAGAAAAAATCTTAATTGATTAAATATCTTACAACATATAGAATTATTTATATTATCTATTAAATATATAACATAAAATAACAAGCAATGTAGTTTATTTAATGAATTAAGTAAATTTATATTTTAAATAGTAATTCCATCTATAAAAACTACAATTTAATGAAGAGATAAAATAAAATAGATATATAATGTAATGATATTGAATCAAATTATTGTTTCTATATATAAAAATTATTAACGAAAAATAAAAATATATTATCTATAATGTTCTAATATAAAATCAAATCACTTTCAAAAGTATATATAAATACGAATATGACTACATTTAAACAAAAAATATTTATTTTTTTTTTGAAGACTTTATAAATTTATGTTGTGATAAACCAATTGTTGAAAATTATAAATACACATGGAATTTGTATTTATAATTGCATTTAAGGATATATGGTAATACAAAATAAAAACTTCTGGATAATACGAATCATTTTATTATTTTTAACTATACCTCATAAAATGTTATATTAACTTTTTTCTTTTGTAAATATATATTTATTTATATATGAAGTGAATAATGTATTGATATACATATAAATTAATAATAAATTTTTTATCAAATATTAATACAGATATAACCTTAAATTGTTAGATTCAATTTTATCTTAAATTACTTATTGTTAATTTAATATTGATTATATAAAAAGCAAGTCACTTACAATGAAACATTGTTCAATCTTCTGAACATAGTGCGATTTTTTTATATGAAGTGTATTCCTCAACAATTTTTCCTGCAAATACTGTGTTTTATTAAAAACTTATTAATTTTTACAATAACCTGCAATTAATTTACAAAATAATAAACTTCAGCAATAGTAAAAAGTACAGCGATATGTGAATGATATGTGAATGAACAAAGAGAATGATAAGAAATTTGATAAATGATTAATAAGGAATTTATATTTTGCCTAAAAATATTTTATACTTTTAGTCCAAAAAATATTGCAGAAACTAATTGCCCTCTAGGAAGATTATTCATAACTAAACCAACAATGCACCAATTATATAATACATAATAAATAAATACAAATCAAATTTAATGTATGTTCGAGTACATAACTTCAGACTAGTTGCGCAAATTATAAAGCAGCGTTCTTGTTTTTTAATTTGATGCTATATAACCTATAAAAGTATTTTAATGTTATATATATAAGCATTTATATACATATATACATGCTTAATTAGATTATATGATTTATGGCATTTATTGCTATTTCATAATGTTCGAAAGTTATATTTGTTTATTTGATCCAGTTCGATAGATCAAATGTTTGAAAATGTATTTAATTTTCTGGCTCGAACTGCCAAGTTCTATAGTTTAGTTTATTTGTCGCCCGCCTAAACGATGCTTAGGAAAGAACATAAGTGGAAGGACTGTAAATATGTACAGTGCGTGTAAACTTCGTTAGAACATCGTTTATTTGGTTTTATTCACAATTACACTATTGTTGTTCTGAATTCACTTATCGTGGGAGAGAGTGAACTATGTTATATCACAATCATGTAGTTGCTCCTTGGTGGTGGTGACGATGGCGTCAATGACGTTATAGGGATCAGCAATGGATTTTGTATATTCCTTGAAAGGGAATATAGCTTGGTTTCAGGTCTATGCTAATGTTGTAAAGGTTAGCAGGAGACCCGATCATACTCATAAAGGGAATAGGGGATTATTTCGGTGATAGTTATTCTCAATAAAGACTACTGGTATACCTTCCTGTGAAGGAGGGTCCGATACCATGCTTCGTGTGGCCAACTATTTCCTTGTATTGCAGTCAGCCCTTGACTGGTTGTTAACCGTTGCGCACTGAAGAATTGAACGCATGTTCTTTGGAATGACTCCGACTTAATAGCGTGGCTAGGGCGTAGATGACTGACTAGGACGAGTACTGATTCGGAGGAATAACTGACACTGTATAATGAGTAACTACTGAGTGATAATTACGACGAGTTGTGATGCGCTTTTCCTTAAATATCAACGCGGCAGCTACAATAAACTGGCAACAATGCTTAGGTGCGGCTATACGGAGACTAGCCGGCTTCCAGAACGTTTCAGAATCTAAGCTTGGGCTATTCGAGAGTACAGCGAAAGTGAAGCCTTGGAAGATTCGAGAATCTATGGTTTGAGCTATATTTGAAAATTCTGTTTGTTAATTGTGTACAAAGATTCAAGACTAGAAGGCTTATAATTTTTCCGAGAACCGTAACCTCAACAAAAAAAATGCTCCAATTCCGAACACATAGTAAAAATGAAAAAGAGAAATATTTAATATTATAGTAAATTTTATTTTTAAAACTGTAAAAGTTTGTTCATAAAACAATTATTATAAAATTTCTGAAACGTTTACAAGTTCTTGTTCTATAAATTTAGTTTTTTTATAGAGTAAATAAATAGTTTTTTACTATCGGCGGTTTTTATGATGCCGTAATATACCAGTTTATAAAGAGTTATTAAATATAATAAAAAGAGACGTGCTATGCTTTTCATTTAGTTACATCTTGTATGCAATATGTTGTATTGATTATTAAATTTATTTTCATCGTACGTTTTAGAATTCATGATCCATTTGCTTGTAATTTATAAGTTTAGCAAACTATTTGTGATCCTCTATTAAATTATTCACTTAGTAAAGAAAAATATTAAATCGTTTTGTTATAGATAGTTTCAATATTTTGTGTTTCTTTGATGAGTATCTAATAAAATTTATCAAGCTTATTCTAGAACACAAATATATGAAAGAAACTTTCGCCAGTACCGATTGGTTGTAATACAAATTACAAATTAAACTACAAGAATAGAGTATATTAATCAATTTTATTTCCAAAAAAGTTTAGAGATTTTTATAATTTCGTAATAGTTTAAAATAATATTGCCAAGGCAAGATAAAGACAGAATTAATAAAGATAAAATATACTCAAAATTAAAAGAAATTATTTATTTCATCGATATAAAATAATACTATCGAAAATTATTTTTTCTGGTGTCTCAATACATCAGGTATTATTCAGATAATTAACCAAGTTTTCATATGCATGTTAAATAATCTGAATTGAAACTACATGATACATTGAACTTTTATATTAAGAACTTTTATATTAACTTTATCATTTGATACATGCTGTAGGTGTTAGAATAGTTACAACTGATGATTAAATTGAGTTATGTTCTTTGATATTTTGATAAACCTATCAATTTATAGTATTTTTAGAAGATTGATTATTTTCCAAAAGAGATTTGAATTGATAGCTTTATCATAAGCACCTACAAGAGATTCTATTTGGCAAATAGAAAAAGTAAAGAACATTATATGGTTCTGATATTATATTTTTTTTATATTTTAGGTAGAATATAATAATGCTCATTATAATTTGTAAAAAAGTTAATTTATTGGTCATATACGCAATATAATTTATGTTCATGTATTTGCATAAATATATTCCAATAATGTATACACGTTGTGTTAACAATGTTATTTGTTCCTTAACTTTTAATATCCTAATATCATAAATATTGTGATGATAAATACTTTTTTTATCTGTTTTTTTCTTGATATCCTAATGCATGTATGATAATGACGCATGCTTACTCTCTATGTATTCTTTTCTTAATCTGCCTATCAAAGCTGAAAGAATTTCAAAAGTGCTAAAAATAATGATTAAGATTGTTTTCATTGATCAAAACTTGAAATTTTGACTCTTTAGCTATGTTGTTTATGATCGTTGGAGATCTTATGAATTAATGTATTTAATATAAAAATGAACAAGAATTTCATTATTGATGTGCTTTCATCATTAGTATATCATTATTAGTATAAGTTTCACAAATAATATTCCTATTTTTACTAGTAAAGTATTAACGAAAGTAACTATAATTATTTATTATTTATTAATTACTTTAATTATCTATGACTTTTTTAATTACATTTTCTGAGTTATTTCACAGTTCATTTTACATATTTGAAATTAAGAATTTGTTATTAAATAAATATAAATAAAAATAAAATATAAACTCGTATAAATATATAAAATGAATGTTTAAATCATGACTGTTAACTAATGGTATAGTAAATCATTTAGTTGTGTAAAATTTGAAATACAATTTGCTCTATTCAATAGAATGCATGCCCAATTTTTAAATACTTGTATTATATGAATAGTTGTAAGTATTTAATTTAATATCAATTATCAAGATTATTGTACCGTGTATTATATAACTATCTTACATGATATTATTTCTAACATTATTGTTGAACCAGTCGTAGAGAATCGTTGTATTGTATATTTAGAGTAATTATATTTTACTTCATTATAAAGGTTATTTTTAATATTAGAATCTATTAATTTTATTACATTCTCTACTTATCGTTGAATCATAGAGGTTTAAAAATATATAATATTTTTTCTATTTTTATGTACAGAATTTTCATTTATTTATGACGAAAATATGAGTATTCTTCAAATAATTCAAAATTATTATTAAGTTTTTACTAATGAAGGTTATCTGATATATATAGAATATTTTATTTTTACTTTATTTATAATTAATTAGAAATTGTGCAAAAAAATGTGATTGATAAATTGTTTATTAGAGCAAAGTTTAAATAAAAACTCTGCATTCATTTTCTTTTTAAAACATGCTACATTATTTTGTTATTATACCGTATGTTCGAGATTGATGCGGTTCCATGAATATTAGAAAAAGTAGGTTATACGCGCTGTGTGGCGTACGGTACGCGCGCCTAATCCGGCACGTGCGATCTGACCGGGACGTGCACTCGGGTGAATGTTTATAAAAAAAATTCGGCAAGTCCGAGCAAGTTTTACGACATGAAAACTAATATACTATAAGATCACACAAAGATATTACTCCTACTTTTCTCTCATCGAACATTCTCGAAGGTTCTAGATTTTTCTTTCCACGCCTTGTGTAAGAATTAGTGCAACAACGACGATGCTTTGTTGTCAGCTAAGTAAGCCGTCGCGTGGCTATATAAGAAAAGCGCGCGGCGCGCCTCGCTCTCTTGCTAATCATTTCTTGCCAAACAACCCTCGCTCAACCGCGCTTGTGCCTAACAACTTGCCGTGACTCGACCGCAGTGATCGATCTTAGTGAAGCAATTCCATCATCTACCAGTAGAAGCCATGGCACACGGGTCTCGATCTGCCCTCAGCAGGACCGCCATGGAACGGTCGGTATTTTCAGCAGAGCCGCCACGGAACAATCAAGCCTTCGGTTCGTGCGCGTAATCAAAACGCTCATTTGTAATATCACTTCGCGCTCATTCAAGTGTATCTGCCGCTCAGTGTTTTTGTATACTGTAAGATGACGCGTGGCCATTTATTCGGCAGCATAGTTAAAAATACACGTGTGCATAAGAAATCGGCAAATTAGATAGTGATTACAGTGAAACCAATGGAATAGTGATCAAAGGGGACATCAATTACGCAGCAGTAATACACCTTGCCTGCATTTTACAAGGTACACCTTTTTATATTAAGAAATTAGTTAGTTACACCTAGCACAAAACAAGTCGGGCAAACTTACGCTATTTCGAAGAACACTTCGAAACCGTACAGGCCAATAAGAGTCGATAGGGCAAACTTACGCTTTTCCGAAGACCACTTCGGAACCGTACAGGCCCGCTAACAGAGAGAAGATAAGCTCACGCTATCCCGAAGTACACTTCGAAACCATTCAATTCGGACCATGCAGGCTCGCTAGCATAGAGAGGG